GTGGGGGCTGCCTGACAGATACGCTGCCCGCCAGGACAGATACTCTGCCAGCCGAGTGAATTGCGCGATTGGATTTGACGGGGAATACACCAATTTAACTGTTAAGGAAATGGCATTCTCTGCGACGAAATACGCCGCAAGCCCGCACACCACCAGCTGCCAATACGAAGAGGACCTCTTGGTCACGAACGCAAAAGGATGTATCCAGTATCGCAGGCACCCCGAGCACTGAACGACAAAGAATCAAATACTTGCCAAGCCAAAAAACAAATGCCACCATAGTACTTGGTGGCTTGAAACAAGATCACTCCACTTGCTAGCGAGAGAGGCACCTGGTATGATAAGAGCAAAGGGCCTGGCCTCGTTGGCATAATTCACATTCTTGCCCGCCATGACCTGGATTCTGCCTGTTGTGTTTTTTGTCCCAACAAATTGGGAGAATTTTCTCCATTGCATAGCATACTACCTGTATACAATTAATAGTTGTCATAGTATAACTCTTTTCTGACGTGTTTGATTTAAAATAACAACCCCAGAACGGTCATTGTGAGCTGAAAGAATGCACAACTGAGATAATGTGCCTCTGATGGTTGGCTATCAAGCTCATGTTTTCCCGTTGAGTTTGCACCAACGTCCTCACAAAATTGGCCATGAGTGTTCAACGACAACTTTTGAAATTCTAGGCAGATGCGAGACACCTTCTTAAGTACAACTTTCTGGCAATGGTCAGAGTGCCCGCTTTCAACGGTGAAGCAACAATGGAGACAGTGACATTGTGCATCACCAGGCACCACTTTTGGGATGTCGCCAACGTGGGTATTTCGATAAAATTGTGCTGATATGGAAGTGCTATATATTGAAGAAACGGTATGTAGTTGTGCTCCCAATATTCTTCAATTTTCTGGCTGTTGGTGGAATGTTGTGGCAAGGAAAGTTGGAAATCGCGAAATCCAAGTGAAGAGAACTAAGCTTGGAGACTTTGTGCATGACCAGGCTTTCGACTTCGACCGCATTGCTATGTTTGGGAGATTCCTGTGTAGTATAGAAAATTCTTTCTCAATGAAAATCGAATGTCGCGTATAAGAACAAAAGTCTGCATGGGTGGTGGTGCGCCATTCGAAAAAGATTGGGGACAATCAGGTAAGATAGCATTCATATGCATTTCTAGCCACATCACGGTGAAGAAATGGCGACAGCGACAGCGACGAAATTGGCGGTCTTATGATCAGAGTTGTGGTTCATGGGAATCCACGCTGTTTCAGTGCCAGTACCCCTATGTGTTGAACTGGCTCCTTCACTAGGGAGGCCCATTCCGTAACCTGCATCCTCCTTATCGACCTGCTTAAAATTCAGCCTCCAAAGTTCCAAGCAAACTGCGGCTTACGTTCCACCATTCCCAGCAACCGCTTTGTCTTTTTGCTTTTGTTTTCTTCCTACCAAACTTAACCCTTGCTCCATGAGTTGCTCCCTCAGTGCTATTTGTTGGATGCGCCAGGGTGCCCAATTGAAGCCTCAGATCGCAATTTGGAACCAATCTCAGCAAGCACTTCTGATGCCACGCTGGATACCCTGGAGGCCGCGGCAAGCCCGCTTGGCTTCTCTCCTGCTTCTGCGTCGCGAGCCGTCCTCAGCAATTCGCTGTAGTCGGAAACGGTACGCGTGGGAGTGGAGGCTCCTGACCTTGCGAGCTCGGTCGGCGAAGATCGTGTAATTGCCGACTTCCAGCGCTGCCTGCAGCGGGAATCAATGCTTCTCATGGTGTTTATCACAACAGCTTTCAGTGCCTTGAACTGACTATTTGGGTGCAACTTCCATTGCTGCCTCAAATTGTACAATGGAGCATTGTGATGATGATTTCACTTTGTGGTCTGCATTTAATCACAACAAGATGTCAATCATGTAGCTGAGTTTAATCGTCGATGAGGCGCCCAAAGTGAGCATGCTGCAAGAAATTCTATGTTGCGTCATGCGATACCGAATAATACTGGTGCACTTGTATACCAGTATTATTGTTTGTATGCTGCAATTGTTTTCGCGCCCATGTGCTCCACTGGAGCGAGATATGCAAAGTTTGAGGAACAATATCCCGTGAGCATCCAGATAAGAACCTTCCGCAGGTACTTGAATTGGCAAAAGGTCCTCAGAGATGACAGGCAGAAGCTATTCCAATTGGCAAGCACCATGTGTCCTTTTACATGGCACGAGGCCTTGCAAGCTTCGAAGGCCCCATTTCATTGTTATTTAGCAGAGCTTCTGTCAACCGTCAGCGACAATGCAAAAGCAAGGATGTTGTGCCAACATGAGAGTGGAGTTCGGGCTTCCCGTTGCGTCACAGCACAATTTGTTCCAGCCGAAAATGGTCGTGTTCAAACCTGTTAATTGCAGATCCAGCTCCCGCATCGACGCTCGTTGAGACGCCGCTGAGAGTCCTTTGCAATATGTTATCCCGCCGCTGCTGCCTCAGCGTCTCCTCTGTCCTTGCTTGTTTCGCGGCCATCACCATGGTTTCCAGTCGGGACTCTTCCACTTCTTTCTGTGCAGCAGCGCCGCATTTGGTCACTGCAGGTCCCATCAAAAATGCTGGATGTGCCAATGTGACAATGGCCTCTTTCTATGATGGCAAATCGCCCTTTTATGATGAGTATTGTATATTTCTGCGATGGAAGCTGCCTGCTATGGAAGTTTGGGGCTGCATTTTGATGTGTGTTTGTGAGCAATCTCAACGCAATTGCCAGCCTGTTGCTTTCGCTGCTAAACGAGAATTTGCCACTCACGCCGTTGCAAGATGACGAACAGCCATATCTGCTTTGAGATTCTTAATTCACGAAGAGCACATAAAAATCGCGCAGCATTCTTAATAGTAGAAATTGAGATGTTCGATATCTTATAAGCAAATGGAACAATGACGGGTTTCCTGCGCTATTCGCACATCAATATTCATTCAGAATTTGAATGAATATTCAATTTCAGATATATCGGTTTCAGTATGCAGAGCTCCACATGAAGAGATCAATACACAAATTGTACCATTTAGCAGTTTCAATGTGGCTCCTGCTGTGATAAAAGAAGATGAATCCACATTAAACTTGTGGATGCGATAATGACAGAGAACTTCCGTTGTGACAGTGTACCCGCGCTCGTGTTCTCAGCGCTGGAATTGAATTGTTGTAATGTTGCTTGTCACCGATCGCAACAGCATCCAATTCATTAATGTAGCAAGTATTCTACAGATCGGAATGCTCAACGTACATTCCATTGCAATGTTTTGCACGTACATGTCATATATTTGCAATGCGACCAAATATACAAGGGACAGCTGCTTGCGCACTATTGGTGGCTACATGAACTGGCAAGATACTCTTGCTCCTGTGATTGCACTGATTACTCAACAACAAGCCCGCTCACGTTACAGACCGAGGTTTCGCACACTAGCTCACCCTCAGCGCCTGTTGTGCGCTATGGCCCTCAAGTTCAATCTGTCAGCGCGCTTTGCAAGAGGAAGAGCATCCTTTCGATTCGCAGCAGTGTCCTAACCAGATGAACGGTACCAGTTCGGCAATCGCATCGAGGAAAACAAAATCGCCGTCCAGGTGCCCGAGCCAATTGTCATCAATAATTGCCATTCATTGCTTGCTGTGTGCTGGCCATTGGAATGCTCACGCGCACGTTGTGGATCGGACCTTGAGGCTCCCCAAAGTTCGAGCCATATCTTCGTTCTCTCTGTCAAGCTTGCCGCGGTCAGCTGCGACCGCCTTCAGCTCTGCCCTCAGCCTCATGGTGTCCTGCTGCAGCTGATCACGCTCGGCGACACCTGCGGAGACAACGTTTTCCAAACCGTGTAATACTGGCACTCTCCCTGTGTCAGGCTAGGCTATGCCTTTGCGCCGATCAACAGCGATGGACATAAACCTCAATTGATCCACTGCCCTTCCTGAATGCGTGGTTGATTCCACATTGAACCATGTTGCTTCAATTCCGAAACTTTCGCGCTGGTGTGTCCTTTCACAACAACAACAGCCACACGCTGTAGGAGGCTCTTCAGTCATTCGCCTGTGCGTCTTCACAAGAGTAACGCTCGGCTATGCCATTTGTCCATGCCACCAATGATAAAAATTTTCCGGGCAGATTTTTGGGCTCCCGACGTCCCAAAGGAAGCTCTTGGATGCGATTTGAAGATCGTGAGGCGACCTGAGGCCAGAAAACCCCCCACGTGCCCCTCTTGCGTTCCCGGCCCGTATCTTTGGGCGGCAAAATACGAAACCGTGGTCTCTGCCGCGCAGGTCGGCGTACATGTGGCGATATCGCCCCTCAGCTGTCTGACGGCATCTTGGTGCTCTATCGCCTTGTCCTCCGAAGCTTTCGCCAGTCGCCGCGCCTCGTCCTCGAGCTCTTCAACCAGCACCCTGAGTTCGCCGTTGTCCTTGGCCATCTGGGCGCATCGAATGTCCAGGTCCGCCTTCTGAGACTTGAGTATCTCCACCTCTGACCTCAGGCGAGCCAGCTCCGTGGCGCTTTCAGCAGCGAGCTCGTTCATTTTCTCCGTGGTCCGGGCTGCGTGCGCCTGGGGGAATGACGCGGCGTTGTCAGAGCCAGCATTGACAACAAGTCCACGTGCGTCGAACCGAATCATGTGTGGGCAGGTTCAGGCGCAATGAACGCCGTGTCAGGCGTTCGCAGTGCCCATCACAGAAGTCTCCGATGAACATTTCTGTGTAGCGCGAAGCAAATTAAGCAGCCTCACAAATCTCGGCTGCCGCGCATACGTTTGTAAGCACCGCGCCGCCACACCAAAGATGTGGACACACCATGGATGCCCGCCTTGCACATCAGTTCGTAATCGAAATTGATTGCAAGATGTCTAATGGGTGGTGCCCGATCTCAAAGACGCTGGTGTGTTATTCCTCTCTGGTCTAAATTAGTAATTGCTAGGTTAGACCCTGCAATGTGGCTCACGGATCGGCATTCCCGCTGCATCTATGTGGCCCTATTCGCACGCCTACCTCGGACGCCTTCATGTGCTCCTCAGACCTCTCCAGCCTGCGCCTTGTGGTATCCAATTCTGCCTCCATTTCAGCATTTTGCCTCGCCAATTTTCCACAACTGTCCCTGGACGCCTGAAGCTCTTCTTCCAAGCACCTCCTGGCCTCCCGCAGTGACGGCAGATAAGCCTACGGGGTAAGGGGCGCTTCAGTCCGGAAGCACATCTGTCTTAGGACCGGATAGCAGCCGCGATTGTGGGAGGCAGTGTATGGACCCATTTCAGCATGGATCCACCGAAGGTCTGGCAAGACTCCTTCCCTTAATATTCAGGTGTATAGTGTGCAGGCAGAGCTTCCCGGAATGTTCGAAGGAGTTTTGCTTTCTTGCCATACAACAAAAGGACAATATTCATAGCGTTTTTTCTCACCTGATGCTCTTCCTCGCGCTGCCGAAGGAGCTCCACTTCTCTTTGAAGCTCTAAAGCATGCTGGTGCTCTCCTTGGAATGCTGCCTGGGACATTTCAAGATCCTTGCCTATGTCTTCGATGTTGCTCTTCAGCGCCAAGTTTTCTTCTCTTAGTGCTCTCTCAGCTGATGCCAAATCGGACGACTCCGCCTGAGGAAACAGATTGATGGCAACAGTGCTTACCATGGAAAACCGAAATACAAGTTACACGCAGACTTCCAGCGATTTTTAGGACCAAAGCAGCATCTACTCCATAGCATTGCACATTCAAATGGGGTCTGAATTCGGTGCACATCAAAATTCCAACGATGGTGCTGTTGTAGCAAAGGCAAGTCGCAAAGTCCCAACAGAATCCAACGTTTTGATCATTTCAGATGCCGTTTCAATCAAACATTAGTCATAAGTTTCTTGGGGTATCTGACTTTCTTGCCGAGATGCCTGCACAAATCCACAGCATGAACCTATATTCTGTTTTTTTGACAGACATGGCGTCAAATCACATGGGGCGAAGCCTTGTGATCACGTGACATGGAACGCGCATAAGGTTGTCTTGCTGTCCGCGCGATCCAGTTATTGGGCACTAGCACTTGAAAAGACATGAGCCACAAGACAACCCCATGCACACAGTGCGCCTTCAATGTCGGTTAGGTTGCTTTCCAAACTTTCGCAATTGTGGTCATAAGTACGCCCCCTAAATCGCGGATGCGTCCGTTAGCCATATGGCTTATCTTATCCTCTCCGAAATCCATATTACTGCGTTGCAACAGTTTCCAGCTCCAACAAAGCAAAATTATTTATAATGAACTGTGGAGTATATTCTTCCAAAATGAATCCTCACCGTGTGCACTGTGCGCAGGTGTTATCTACATCCATACTACCCTAGGTTTTGCAAAAAAGGACCTAGGTCTGCAGTGCCAGCCAGTGTGTCAGAGACACTTTGATCTCCTTTATCTGTTGTGGGTCTGTTAAGTTACACATTCAAACCGTTGACAATCCGGCCATATGGTAAATCACGAGCTCTTCATATTTCCTTGTGGAATTGTAAGTCATTTGTTGCCACCAATATCCACGCATCATACAATACATTTCGCACCGATGGAGCTATTTGAGTAAAATCCTCGCACTCAATAATCCAACAGTTTACTGATGGCATACATATGTCAAAATTTTTTACATCTGAAAGATCCTGACCTCAAGTCTCTCACATTGGGAAACCAGTTTGGTCACCCTATCCTGCAGCGTTCCCATTTTCTCTGCAAGAGCTTCCTTTTCAGCCTCTAGCAGTTGCAGAGATTCTCCCTTGGCTCGGACATCAGCTGATTTTTCCTGTTCAATTTCCCTGGATATTCCTAAATCTTTCCGTAGCCCGGCACATATTTCCCTGGATGTGGCCAACTGCTCCTCCAAAGCTGTGTTGGTTTGGCTCAAATGGGCTACAGCGTCCTCTGATTTCGAGCACCTTCAGTCATCCACAGTCTGGCTCAACAATTTCATTAGCCGCTGTGGCTGCTGCTCCGGAAATCCATAAATTTCAAGTGATCTAAAGATATATAGCACCTGGCGTGTGTTAAACACAAATTTTGAACGCTTATCATGTCAATTCTATGAGTTTAAAATTGAACGCACAATAAGTCAAAATTACTTTTTCTGGCATTCCCTTGTTTGCATAACAGAGAACCACGCAGTCGTTGTGCCGCAACATAGTTTGACCCCCTTCTGAATGGCGCACAACTCTATAAAAGGTACCCTGCCACCTATTGCCATCTAAATGGTAGCATTCGTTTAGACGGAAGTTCCAGTTAAGGTCGCTTAATCAACGGAGTTGCCCCATATGGTCCTGACTTCATCATGCACCAATCAAATGAACGTCATGGTGAGCTTCCATTGTAATGGTATGGGGTCTTGGAGTCACCTTGCCAATGTGTCTTGATATTTTGTCACGTAGTTTGTAGAGGCTGTCTCCGAAACTTCCAGTGCATCCAAGAGACCCCTCACTTGGGCTCGCCATCTCCGGATGAGCAAATCGTCTTCCCCAATTCCATCCACCGCGTTGCATGATTCCGCGCAGGCATCGCAGGACTGCTTAAGGATTATGTACTGCCTGGCAGCACCGTCCACCTCCGACATTATGGATTTCACGTCTTCCATGTTTTGCCGGAGCTTCTTCGCCTCAGCTTCAAAATTTCTAAGGTCCTGAAGCTGCGCAACGCTGGCAGTGGGCATCTCAGCACTTGGTGGTTTAGGTCGTTACGCTGCGTTCAAAAAAACCGGCAACAGTTTGTCGTAACGCCGGACTGCGTGGATGCCATGATCTCTAATGTACTGGAAAGGAAGCGGGACGGCTAATAAAAACTGCAACTTGAAAAGAAAAGGAACGCTTCTCATAAATGGATGAGAATGGTGCCAGCTTGAAGACAAACACTGACCATGCATCTCTGGCGGGGGCTGGGCCTTGCGTTACGGAATTCGCTTCCTCAATTGCCAACGGGAACTAACGGTCACCACATATCCACATGCCCTTCACCGGCTGAAAGACGCAAGATCTCCGATTTCTCATTTAAGGCGTAAATTAAACAGAGAACTAGCCCGCCCAAAATCTATGGCTCCGAAAGCACATGTTTCATTTCGAACCCAAGAACCTCACCTCAATCTCTGCACCAGCGCTGTTGCTCCTGAGTATGTTGTTTTGCGCTCGAGCAGCCTTGAGATCACGTTCCATGACTTCAACCCTAGTCTGAAGCCCTCGGTTTGCGTGCTCTTCCCGTTGAAGCGCTATCTGCACTGTCTCCAGATCGACGGACAGTTTTTCAACTTTCTCGTCCGCCTCCCATTTCTCGTCTTGAACTCGAGCTCGATCCCTGCGCACTGACTCCAGGGCCCTCCGCATATCATGCGATTCCCCTTCAAGGTGCTCCAGCCCGGACAGTCGCAGCTTCAACTTGCCTATCTCCTCTTCCTGGACCTTTCTGACCTCTCGTTCGCTCTGAGCCTTCCTTATGGACTCTTTGGATTTGGTCTTCAGGCGGTAGGCTTCGTCGCTGAGTTTCTGTACCTGCAGACATGACAGCACAACAAATCTGACGCAGCACAACGCACGCGTGAAAAATGAGCCACCAGGCAGCCTGGAGCCAAACGCACACAACCATCATTTTCCATGGGCCAAACGCAAGATGTGCGGGTGGTGGTATTGGACTCAATTCTCAAACCCACAAACCAAACCAGAAGATTATCTTTGTGCCTCGCATCCCAGGCATGTCTACAGATGCTCAACACAAAGGGAACAGATATGCATACGGACGCAATGACCGTCATTATAATACAATTGGCAAGCGTCCAAGAACAATACTTTACACCCGCAAGATCCTAGTGATGCCTGAGACGTGCGTACTACCTGCACATGAAGCTTATGAGCCAGCTCGTCTTTAGCCTGCCTTAGCTCTTTGTTTTCCTTCTCCATTTCCTCGATTCTGTCCCTCCGGTCTCTCGATTGGAGATCGATCTCCTCGAATCTGGCTTTCTGCCTTTCCAGCTCGATCTGGGTGTTGGCGATGTCCTGGCGGAGAACAGCAAGAGCTTGCCTCCCAGCCACCCTCGCCTGGTCTTCTGCATGCTGCTCGTCCGCAAGCGAAGTCAGACGCGCCTGGAGTCGACCGCAAAACACGCCATCGCAGGTTGGATGTTGACATCTGTTGAGTGCTGCAATTGCACTGTGCAATATTCCGCATTTGGATATGACTAAGTGACGTGCTGGCGCCTATAAACGAGACTTTGGGGTTACCTTTCAGTTTCAGAACGTTCCTGCATGTGCATACCCGTCATAGCCAACTATGTGCAAGGTCACCGCATTGTCTTGTGGAAGGCAATTTTCAGGGATTATAGACGTCCATTTTCAGGCAGTTCGCCTGTCAATTATTTCGCTCCAATGGGCAATTTTTGCGTGAACGGTATAAGATCCAAATTGATACCTTTAATCTCTTGTTTTCTGCCTGTTCGGCAGCCAACATGCTTCGAACATCTCCACACTCCTGAAGCAACTTTTCGAGGAGAGCCTCGGCCCGAAGGCCTCCTCCGTTTCTTCTCATAATGGACAGCAACTCGCCGTAGACAGCGCTTCCCGCCCCAAGTGGATTCCGAACGCCGGATAGAACGGCGGCAGCAAGGTTGTTCTTCGGGACGAAAACAAGCCTTGCTAGGAGCAACAAACGAAAAGTGAGCATTGAAGATTTGGGACACCTTGGCAGCAAATTTGATGTTGGTAACAAATCAATAGAGCACCGAAATATAATGAACCAATAATTGGAACGGATGTCGATGTATTGTCGATATACGCATAGATGTGTGGTTCCCTGCGCATGGATGGAACATTCGAAACAGCTGCGTTGTGTCACGGCAGCGAAGCCCAAGTTAGGTGACTTCATTGCAACACTAAGGCAGAAGAATCGGCACCAAGGCAAGAAAGGGGTACACTGTCATATGCAAACATCCGCACCTTCCACTTCTCCGCAGCAGTCAGAAAGAGGTACACAGCAGGGATTTGCGCAAGTGCAGATCCGGTCGGCGGAAACGCATGAGTGCCTGCAAATATCCCTCACTCCCAGACTGCGATTCACCACCGTTCCACCTTCAGTTGAATCCAGTGGACAACAAGGCCAATGAGATTTGCAGCATTGCACCTCCCATTTTGGAACAACGACAATTCCCTCTCCTTTTCCGGGACTTCTTAGACGTTGAACGTAGTTAAGAGTGGCCAAGGTGTCGCTGGCGGCCTGCCAAAAAGAGTCATTTTCAGAAGGAACCGGAAAGGCAAATAATGTTCTGTGCGCTTTGGCACGTGTTCCAATAGACCCAAGAGGTTACTATCATGAACACGCCACCTGCAACAGTTTCTCACCCAGGTATGGCGCGAATCCGAAACTGCCGGAAAACTTCCCAGATGTTCACCATTGTCGAGCTAGTCACCAAATTTGTGTGGCCAACGACAATACGAAGGAGAGAGATGGTGATATTCGTACAGAACAGAGGAGTGCACGTACAGATGGAGAAGGAGATACTGCCGCTGTTATCCAGACAATGGATGAATTCTCCAAGTTTTCCCGTAGCCAGCGGGTGAGGGGGCTGTCGCGCCAAGGAATGTGCCTGCAGCATCTGGACCACCATTTCAAAATTATCTCAATTGACATGGCCCCTGCAAAATCTTTTGCCGTTCTTACATCTGGAAATTTGGCAGGCGTTGATGCAATGTTGGTGAGGGTTGATGCAAGGGGGCCATTGAAAAAATGGCACTCAATATTGATGAACTGCCCTTGAAACAATGGCTCTTGGAGTCGGCGTTTATCAACATTCCAACAATGCATCTTGATGCAACATTCCCAAACAAGCAATGTTCCAGCAATGCTGCATCACCGACCCATTTATCATCCCGGAGATGCATCCAGAAATTTGGTAGGCTTTGATGCACCATTGATAGGCCCTTGGAACAACGCGAACCTTCAGAGCTCGTGTCTGTAGAGCGGCTTTGATGCAATGGCCAGTCAATGTCATATCAACGCCTACCAGATTTCCGGATGTATCAGAGGAGAACAAGGTGCCTGATCAGATAGGGGCCAAATTTTATAGGTATATATGTTTCATCAAAGTGCGATGGCGGAGAGCTGGAGCAACGCAAAACAACCCAACTACGCTTTTTGCCAGCAATTGTTTCCTGAGCGCAACGTTCAATATGGGCATGTGCAGTGAATCTTACTGTCTGCGATTTGGCTAGCCACACAATTTTGACCACGATTCATTACAACACGATACCACACTATACAGCATTATATATTGTTCAGTTGAAACTCGCAAATCATGTTGACTCGGACGCAGGTGACTCCATCCCTACAGAGAAGGCATATCGAACCATAAGGCAACGTTTCACATTGGTGCGTGAAAGCTACGTCAAATGAACCACGGAATACATCTGCATATCATCCAGCCACTGAGCCATCTATTTGCCTCAATCCTATATCTGCAATCCGCGCAAGCAGACACTCCTGCTAGGATCAGTAGCTGTTGATTGAACTGGCTGGGCATTTTCGTTATCGCGAGTTGCGCTACGGTGTCCTACGCACGTAAAAAAATTTACATATCGGCAAGTTCCATGGTTGGAAATGGGCCGACTGCGCTAAATCTATTCAGCTTGCCTGCCTTCCGCCAGCTTTTGAGTCATGTGGCCGGAGCGCCCCAAACCCAGCAGGACGCCCGTCAGGGCGCTGAAGGCGATAGCCAGGGATCGAGAGTCTCGAGGCAACGGCTCCCTGGGACTCCACTCTCCCGACATGTCATCCTTGGGCTCTGGGGCCGCGAGTTCCACAAATGTGATGCTGCTGCTCTGAGACTCCCCGTGGCACGCAACCTTGCCAGACCGGCAGCAGCCGCGCCCGTCCAGCCTGAGTGTCAGCATGGTGTGTGCCGGCCCCGTCCTAGGGGCACCCACGGGACATCGAGGGCACTCCTTGCAGGACAAATCACGGAACCCAACACCGACTTCAGGTCTACGCACATCAGCCACAGCGAACGCAACGTGCAGACGACGGGCTGACACGCCTCAAACCACATTCAATTCAATGCTTTCTGGCTTCGCGTTTGAGACCTGCAATAATCCTCCCCTGTGTGGTCGGCACGTTCTAGACAGAAAGCAATCTCAGCATCTTCCCGCGCAATTTGCTTGCTGAAGTTCACTTGAATTCCAAGTACCTCGGATCCCGCTCGATCCCACCCGACGGTTCGTGCCACCCTTCCGTGCTTGAGGACCTCGTAAATGTCGTCAGGGCATTGCAGCATCCAGCTGCGCAATCTGGACATGGCTACCGGCGACGATATCTCCCTCAGAGATTGAACGGCATTGTTGGGCGATAAGAGATCAACAAGTAAAGCCTCGTGGCCGACAGTTAAAGCTGAAGCCGCACAAGCACAAAACGCCGTTTCACAACATGGCAGCCACATACGGCCTCACGTTAGCCGCTTTCAGCAGGATTGGAGATTTGAAGAACCAGATGCCAAGACGCCTTGTTTGTGTAATTGCAGATGATGCATTCTTTGTGGATTCAAAAGCTCAAACTCAGGTCTCGATCACAAACTTGGAGGCAAGTGGCTTCGCTATGTCAACGCAACGTAATTCTGTCATGGCTGCGTGCTACAGAGTTGCTGCTGTGCCAATGGTGCAGCATTTGCGCAATAACAGATGCCTGGAGGGAGAAATCCGTCCGTTCAAGTATCAATGCACCTATTGCGCATTTGAGATCCCCTGGGTCCCCCCATGCTGGGCATTGCAACAGCAATTCCATGATCATAATAACACCGAGCCCATTTTGCACAGTACGTTAAAACGACCTGGAACTCAAACGACCTGGACAACGATTGCGAGAAGTGTGGACCTGCCCTCATTTCTATTGCCTTCACTTACCACTGTAGGCGGCAGACACTGTGAAACGGTCCTCCGACACCAGAGCCAAATTTCTGAAGATGGCTCCAACGGCACGAGGAATGACTCCTTCTCTGCCCCCTCCAAATCCACCGACCCCCTAGTTGAACCATCGTCCAGCATAAATAACAATCAATCAAAAATGAGCAAAGGTTAATATTACTAATTAATCATCAATCAAAAACTACCTAGCCAGTAGCTGGCGCCATTCATCTTTTTAATGTATTGGCGTTGAGCGCAGATGTTGAGCACGAGAAAAGTAGCCCAGCTCATTTGCCTGTGTTGCGCGTTTTTATATATTGTGAAACAACATATTTGAATAGAGGTCTGCCGTGTGCTCCCTTTACCTCCAAGGTGTACGTCTTCCCCGCCTGAGAAGCTCCATAGAGTAGCACTGTGCAATTCAATCCCTGCGGCAGCCAACGGAGCAAATCACATCGCGACGCGTCTACACACCACCAAACAATTCGTATGATGTAGAAGCAGCCAATGCTGTCAGTCTTAGGCCCGAGCGATCGTGCAGTGATTCTGGGAATCTGACTTCCATTCCCAGCTGCCTAGAGCAGCTGAATATCTCCTGGTCATGCAATGGAATCGGGAGCCTTGTGTGACCAGGAATTGCCCAAAATCTCATGGCCGTCACCAGTATGATAAACTGAGTTGGATGCGCCTGAGCTCATATCAGACCTTCAGGACACGTGCAGCCTGCCGTGCATGATGACAATCCGGGATGTCTGCTAAACCCTAAATGCGCAGTTTGGTGTAGCGATTATGCATTCAGCAGTTCTCTCTCCGTACCGATGCTCCCAAGTTAAGCCATCCAACGCAACGGAAGATGATTTGGTCTTGTGTACGATTCTTTGAGCTGACCTCTTTGGCTGCAACACTCCCCAATTTGGAGCTCAACCCAAGTCGATGACCTGCTCACCTGGAGGAAAGAATTCACGATGGGGCGGAACGTCTCCTGGTAGACGTCAGTCTGTGTCGACCGCTCCTCGTGGATGAAGTCCACCTCGAATTCTCCCAACTGTCGGGAAACAGCAGGACCAAATGACCAGACAGACCAACACGGGAAATCGCGCAGCCAGTGCGTTCGCGCTGCAGCCAGCATGACAGCACCGGGAGTCGGCCGCTGTGCCAGATCTCCCCATGTGGCCTTGTCCGTCAAGGTGGACCAGACCTGGCGCAGGCGGGGACGGCTTGCGAATGCCTGTCCAGAGCGATTCTGGGAATTTGGCGTGTTCTAGGGCTGTGACAAGAAGGCCAGTGGACGATTCCGCCGGCGAGGGGCGCTGGGCTTCGTCCAGGGGCGGGCCCCCTCAAGCTTCCGACTGCCGCGGTGCACCGCGGATGGCGAAAGCGCGTGGCCCTCGTCCGCCACCGCCGTCGCCGCTGCTTGACAAAGTCAACGTGACTTCTCTCTTCAACAACCGTCGAGAAGGTGCCGCTGTTGCGCAAGGCTGCTGATCTGACACCGGGTGCAGACTTCGGGGGACGTCCTGACGACCCGGACTACCCACTGGGTAAGGGGGTTGTGGAAGGGCGTTTGCTGCGCCGCCGGGGCACCACCCCTCCCACCCTTTCCCCTCGCCAGAACGACAGGCGATCGACAAACGGGCTCGTCGAGAAGGGGCGACGCACTCGCGCAGACGTCGTGTGATTCTCGCGCTCGCGTCCAACCCAAGGATCCAGCCGCCCACCAACGGCGCACGCGATCGCTAACGGACGCTGAGCCCTCCGCGCGGGAGGCCCAAGGAGTGGACGAATGCCATTGAAGGCCCCCGCGCGCGGGAGTCCGCCGCGTCGAGGCGCCGCGCCGCACCTCTCCCTTGAAGCACGGCGCCGCGGCGGACTGCGGGCGCGGCTCCTGCGGCCGGACTCTCACGGAGACGCCGATGGTGGGCAGGGACAATGCCGACAGCGCCGAGCCGGCCTTCTTCCGCGGGGACATCGCCGCCTCTGCCGCGGCGCCGCCGCCCCGCCGGCCGCCCGGCGCCCTCTCCGCCTCCGCAACGGCGACGAGCGAAGGCCGGCAGTCCGCTGGGCGCGGACCAGTCCAGTGACTGGACAGGGCGGGCCTGTCATCCACGGAGGGGTTCATCATCATCAGGGAATTTTGCACGTCAGGGGAAGGAGGCAGCCATGAGCAAATCCCTAATCCGCCCGAGGAAAGCAGTGAACTTCGTCGCGCGCAAGACCCGCATTACGTGTTTCAAGGAATATTGAACAAATCCGGGCGAGGACTCCTCGCCGAGGAGGCAGCCATGAGCTCCTCAATCTGCCAGTGAAAAACATGTCCATTATGAATGTTTCGCCTTAGGCTTCGATTCTTGCGTGTGCGCCACAATCCCTTAACACTGAGCTGGTGGCTTCCTGTGAACCAGTCAAGCTAGCCCCACATCAAGGAGCCCAGTATATCTGACGATTATCGCATCGTGAAAGCTCCCCCAAGTTGACTTACCCACCTGTTGGACCGACAACTCCGCAACAACTGCGTTACATGCATGCCAATCGCACAATAACACACATGAGGCACGGTACTGTACACTGTGAGAGCGAAAAAGCAAGAAGCTACCTGCGAACCCTTCCAAGGGCCGCATCTCCGTCTGTGAAGTCAACACTGGCGACCACTAAGAGTAAAGCCTAATAATGAGAGCTACAGTGAGAGCCAACAGGAGTTCCTCCCACCGAGCAGTTCACAAACACTCCTGATGGCACGTAACAATCCGCACGCTCGACAGCAGACACACGCTCCAAGCCTCGAGGTGTCACCATCAGCACGTGGAAACTTTCTTGCTGCATCTGCAAAGGGCTCACGAGCCCAATCACATGAAGAGCTCTGGTGAAGGAATTGATACAAAGAACGGCAAGCTCGAGTGCGAAGCAATGCCCGCCCACATCCTTGTGACACAGCACGGATTCCCAAGGCCCGTCACTGCTGCCTCCCAGCATGTACGTGCCCCCTCCACTCAACCCAGTTTCGTCTCGGACTTCGTTCCAGACATTAACTCTACAAGCTCTAATGCTTGCCTGCCAGCCTGGGATAAGAAACAACATGGGATGTTTCCCATTGGCAACTTCAAGGAATCCAACACTTCACCAACATAAGCTACCCAAAATTGGTTGTCATTGTACGCCACTGACAACAGTGCTCACTGGACACTATCCAGGCTATATCTCACTCTCTTGGCCAATGAACCGCACCCTCTCAACCCAGTAGCTCAGAAGTCAAACAGATTGGCATGCAGTCCTTCACCTTGGAACTACCAGGAGCAACCCAACCAAAAAACTATCGAATTCCCCCACTATTATGAGGCAGGCATGGTCGTGCTATTTTCTTCCCCGCATGCCTGGCACTGCCTTCACTGCTGATAATGGCCGCACCAGCAAAGGCACTGCCAGCAGCGCACAGACAGCTCTTCGCAGTCTCAGCAGTGGATCTTGAACTGGAGGTTGAGCCACGGCCTGCGCTTTCGCACCTTCTTCAGCTTTTCCGTCATTTCCGCCTTCTCCCGTTTCATCTCTTCCAGCTGTCGCTCAAGGTGCGAGGTGCGGTGCTCCGCATCCCCGTGGGCCTCAGTCATGTCCACCTTTGATATCTCCAGCTCACGAATCTTAGTTTCTGTCACGTGCTCCCTCTGGGTCACCTCCTTCCTGGTTCGCTCCAAGTCCTCGCTCCGGTCTGCCAGGTCCTGCTGAAGGCGAATGAACTCCAAGTTCTTGTCTTCCAGGCTCCGCACCGCTTGCTGCTTCTCGCTGAACAGACCCTCCATGTGCCACTCCATAACGCGCACCTGGTGGCTGAGCGTCTCCTTGTGGTGGTCGTTCTCTCGGATCTCCACCTTCATCTTTCTGATGTTTTCATTGGCTGTGCGATTCTCCAGCTCCAACTCACGGAGCTGCTTCTCCATCGTCTGCACCTGCAGGGACAGATCTTCCTTCTCTCTCTGGATGAGCGACACATCCCTCTCCTTCTGCTTGCGGATGCTCTCTGTCTCCGTGTCCTTATCTAAGGTCACATCGTGCAGCATGCGTTCAAGGACAGTCACACGTCCCTTGAGGGCCTCCTTCTCGCTTCCCACCCTGCGAATCTCGTCCTGAGTGAGGTTCATTTCCGCCTCATGATCAGCCTCCTTCTCGCGGAACTCGTCTGCCACCCGCTCATGCTCCATGATCCTACGCCGCAGCACCTCAGTGTCTTGCTCAAGCTTTGCAACATAGTCCCTCTTCATCTTCTCCACAGCCTCCTCTGCAACCTGCTGTTCCTCCTGCAGCTCAGCCATTCCCCTGGATAGGGCACCAACCCGGGCCTCCAGTTTGGACTTCTCTTCCTCAAGGTTCACAACCTGCTCCTCACGCTCTGATGACATGCCCATGCTTTCACTGTGCTGCATAGTGAGAGTATCCAGCTGGCCCTGGAGACCAGTGATTCTGGACATGAGGCTCCTACGCTCCTGCTCCATGCGCCCAGCATGCTCGTCACGAATGCCCCTGATTGTGTCATCAGCTTTGTCTTTATCTTTGGCGAGTTGTTCGATCTGATCTTCGAGCTGCATCAGGCACCCTGCCAGCTCCAGGTTGTCCTTGTCAAGCTCCTGGTTCTGCTTCTGAAGCATCTTGGCAATGTTTGTGGACTCCGAGTTGTCTGCTTCCACTGCTAGGAGTTTGCATGCCAGTCGTGCGTTTGTGCGGGCGAGTTTCTGAGACAGAATATTAAACAAACATCAGCCGCATGACCAATTGATCTGGCCTGGAACAAATCAATAAACATCAGCCGCATGACCAATTGATCTGGCCTGGAACAAATCATAGTCGCTGGTCAGGACAATCAGACTCTTTTCCACATCACAGAAGACTGTCATCTAACAAGTCTGCTAACGTTTCCCTTTCCTGCAACCAGCTCCCGTCCACACATGCTTACCCCAGAGAATGCCAAGGGCAACTGACGCTGCCCATGACAAGGAGAAACCATGGGAGTTGGCAACTATGGCCCGGCCCAGAAAGGACACTGCCTGAATGACCACTGAGTACATCCGGCCACAAGCCCAGGTTAGTGCACATTAAGACTTTAACAAGACCGTACCTTGAGACGGGAGGTTTTGTCATGCAGCTCCTTTCGCACCCACTTCAGTTCCAGACCCAGTCGCTCCATTACTGCTGCTCTGTTCGTTTCCACATCCTGTGAGCACCAACACATATTTCACAGACTCCTCTTTCTTTCAGACAACTCTCCATCACTCAAGCACACGAAAGGAAAACAGCACACGGTGGCAACCTAGGCAACAAACCACTTACTATGCATTGCAGATGCAAAGTTAACCCATCGTTAGGCATTTGGTGAATTGTCGGCCAATATGCACTGGGGGGGAACTGTCTGTCCAATCAAATCACCGATTTGTTGGCTTCAGCTCATAGATATGATGGCTCAGCTCTGATGCCAGCGATGAGAGCCACTGACTGGTCCCACCTGGAAGACTTGGAAGAAACTACTGCATTACATTCTCTTCAGACATGCTGAATCTCTGCAATCCACGATCCCCTACTCCACAGCTAGTTACCACTGGGTAAATACAGTGACATTCAGCTCAGCAAAATCTTGCAATTCAAGGTGCAAGCACCCTGTTTGTGACGCCCATCTTATCCTGCACATGCTGGCCAAAACAAAACACATCAGGTTACCATTTTGAGCACACCTAGTGCCTCCATACTCCTACACCACACCCATGAACCATGAGGCAAGGCCACTTCACATTTCTCCCATTAGCCCTTCACACCTTCCGACGTTTCATCTCCTCTGAATATAGGGTCTCCAATTCGGCGACTTGCAGCTTGCTATCGTCGATAAGGTTCAGCAGGCCCCTTCTCTCGTGGTCATGGTCGATGGACTCACGCCGCAGTGCATCGTTCGTTCTCTCCAGGTGCTCCTTGTCTGTCTGAAGAGTTGCAATGCTCTGCTGTAGCTGCCACATATCCATCATCCCAGTGACGCAAGCCTGTAGGCATGCAAAGCAATGCAAACATAAGTCACCAAGCCGTGGTACCCAGGCCCTGAACTGCAACAAATGCGACCACAATCACCATTACCAACTTCATGTTGCACATCCATGCAGTCATCTGTTCCGCTATGTTGCACAACGATGAGATCAGGAAACCGATACCTGCGATGCCAAGTCTACCACCAACGAGCAACAAGGCCATCACAAGGCAATTGGTCCAGAGCCCATCAAGAACAACGAGTGTTGCGTTACCCAACATGGGGTGACTGGTGCAGTTGTACGCAATTTTTCACAGTGTTGGATTCACAGCTCACACCACCCCATGAACATGGGTTGCTGGCAGTCACAGAAAATGGGTGGGACAAATGGCTAGATGGACTACCCACCAACCTCATTCAAAGCACCCTTGGACATCTTCAACGAGTTGAGCTCCTGAGAGTACTGCATGATCTTTGTGCGCATGGCTGTGATTTCGTCTTTCTTGGTGTGGAGCTCGCTCTTCAGCTGGTCTATGCTTGTCCTCTGCTCCCGCACTCGCATCTGAAGCAGGTCAGGATCATCTGGGAGGGGGAGATCGATAGAGCTCTGGAAGCAACGGTATGCAAAGCAACTTTATTCCAGCGTAGTCACAAAGGTCCTATAACTTTAATTTCCAAACATGAAGTCATGAAGGTCATTTTCGGGTTTGGGTGTTTTGGGTTGGTTCTATCTCGCATTTTTTTGTTTCCACGTCTCGACATTTTGCACTTTCACGCTTTTGTGCTCTTACGTTTTTTTCATGATATGTTACGCTACGTTTTAAGTTTTTATGTCCCCAGTATCCTTCATGGGTTTCATGACTCCGTCATGACCTTATCCAGGAATGATAGGAATCGGACAATCCTCAACACAGTTGGAATTCGACAGCAATCACAGAAGGTTCAAATGGGGTACGTAACAGTCAGGATGCTTATTTGTCTTTTGGGGTTGGCAGCAGGATTCCAAAGCAACAAACAGCTAACGTCCATGGAACAGGACAAGTTATTTTATCCCAGCCAACAACCTGTGGAACAAAAAAGTCCGTGCTGTCTGCCAATGGTTCCCAACTCAGTATCACATGATTGTTGCTGCCCCCCAGACCAGGGCACCTCCAGGTGCACCATACCAATCACACCTTGCTAGTTCTCGCCTCGGAAGATCCGTTGCTGGCAGCACTGTGTGGTCGAGCGATCGACCTAGCAGACCGATGCGGCCAGGTGCCCGTGGGCGTGTTGGACATCGACCTGCCAGTGCCAGGTACCAGCATTGGTGCACAACCAAATCTCGACAACCAAGACTTGAATGGCCAAGCAGCGGCACAAGATCCGGACTTCCAGCCTGGGGAACATCGCACCTCCTGTGTTGCGGATGGTACGCTCCCACCGGTGGGGTCTTTGAGCGTTGGGCAGTTGTTGAGTCGCCACGATACGCTGAGTAGGACACTCCATCGCCCACGATTTGTCCGTCAGTCGTCAGGACAGGCGTGATGTCTGGCGTCAGGACAATACTGTCCTCCGGGATGGGATGAGAGCCCAGTCCGTCCATGTCGGAATCTGGGGAAAGCAGCGCTCGGTCCGGCGACTCTGCCATGGCTCCCAGACTTCACTCCAAAATCTCACCCTGCGTTGAAAAGCGAAGGTCGTCTGCCGGGCAGAACACGCGATGCGTTCAGCCGCGCCGACTTCGCGCGCAGATCCGCGCGTTACGAATCTTGTTTAAGTGCACGGCACAATGCAGAGTCGCGAAACCTCATTCCCCACGAAAACCACGCGCACATATTTTCCGCACAGCCAGCAGTCTTCTGAATCGCACTCAAGGGAGGGTGTGCATTGGCCAACTCATCAAGCGCGGATCGGCCAACTTATAGATCGCCAGCATCAATCTGTTGTGGCGAGTTGTCGACAGCTGCATTCACTGCTGCAACCTTGGCATCGGTGCCAGGGCTGGGCACTGCTGCAATCCTCATACTTTCCATATCGCACGTCTGCTCACGAACGCCACACGCGATCGTGGGACGAGCAGCGGCCCATCTGTGCGTCTGCTATTCTGGACGGCCGCCGATTGGGTGCGCACGCCCAGGCTACCCTATGCCGCGCTGTCACCGTTGGTCCATGGTCGGGGCATTACGGCTCTTCCTTAAACGCCGTGCGTAGCCGGCGCTCTCCCGTAAATGGGACACGATCTGCGACGCTGCGGAAGCATCCGGTATCTGTTCGCTGACGTTGCCCCCGCAAGCCTCAGGCGTCCGCGGAAAATGGTGCGGCGCGGGATGCTTTCGACCAACCCTCGCTGTCGATGCGGACGCTGATGCACGCAAAGGCCAGCGGATGGTGGACGGGCAATTCCTTGGCCCCAACGAGCGAGGTTGCCAAAAGGCCCAAAGGCACCGACACATCTGGTCCACGTTCCTCACCACCCCACTCACTGCCCACGGCGGCGTTCAGCACCGCGGATGCGCCCCGGACCTTTTGCCCGTCGAATCAACTCAGCGCGCGGCGCCCACCTGGATCCAGACAATCAATGCCCAGCGCTGGGCATTGACGGCATTGGCGGCAATGTGGCATTGGCGGCATCTCCGCCCGCGGCCCACCTGCTTCACTCCCCTCCCGCGTTCGCCCCCAACCGGAAAACGCTGCTCCTGTGCGCGCTGTGCGCCACGCAGGGGCGCCAAGCCTTCCGGGGCGCCGCGCGCCGCCAAGGGCTGTGTGCCGCTCCCCGCGCGGTGCCCTGGGGCCAGGGCGATCAATGAATGCGCAATGTTGCGGCGCCTCGACACAAACGGCAGAGCCGCCCGGATGCCAGCCTGCCCGCCCCGCCGGACGTCACCCGGTGGCTTTGTGAGTCCCCCCGCGTCCACGCAGGGCTGGCTGTCAGCCTTGCAAACCACGCAGCCCCCTGAGCTGGCCAGGCTGGGCGGATCGACCCCGGGATGATCTCGAATGAGGGCGCGGTGACGGGCTGGGGCCCCCGCAGCAAGACCCAAACCCTGTACCCCCCACTCAGCCCACAGCCAGTCGGCAGGCCGCGCCAGCGTGGCTACGGCGGAGCCCCCTCGAGACGGAGCGAACCCCCTGCACGCGGAAACTCCACCTAAAATGCAGATCTCTTTCCTCCCTTGCCTCCCAATGAGCACCATTATCATCATTTCATTTCATTATTTTTCCAATTCGTCGCTGTTTTTAGGGCATCAAGCCCTGAATAAACCACAAGCAATACATGGACCCGTATTTTCAGAAACATGCTGAAAACTTGTGTAAAAATAAATGAGCTTCATTTCGTAGCAACACTCTTTTGACAGTTGCCGGCATCGCCGCCACGCCTGTCACGCCAGCATGCCTGTCGTTGCTCGCTGCCGGGGGATTGTGTTTCTTCAGGGCCCAACTGACACAGGCGGCATGGCTGAATACCCGAGTACCCCTTTGAGAGCCACCAGAGGGACTCAAAGCCATTTCAGGAGACATTTCCTCGCCGAAATTTAGAGCAGTTCTTTGCAAGATCCTGGATGTGTCGGTGAATGATCTTTGTGGCCTTGTGCACACTCTCAGCCTGGGTGAAGGATTTGTGCCCACCTTGCTAATTATTTCCAAATGCTGCACAACCCATGGCTGTTCGCCGTGCATCCATATTACTATTGAAGATCTGGTCACCAAACATGGCTTCTGACATGTTACGGGGCTGTCACCAGTTCGACCATCTGCAACAGGTAGAAAACTGTCCTGAACCATCCGAGGGGAACAATCTGCCTTCAAATATTGAGCACAGCAGGTGCACCCGAAACAGCATTGAGACAACATTTTGTGGACAATGCAAGCGAACTGATGTGCATTCTGTGCTCACTCTTTGAGAGGGCCATTGGCTATTGACATGATGACTTTCATGTTGGAAAAATGCCAGCTGTGCCGCTGATAGAACTGCATCTAACAGTGACACACGTTATTGCCCAAATGTGTTGACCTGAGCTTGTTTTAAATAGAGAATTGAAGAGCAGAACACACACACACAGAGGAAGCAATGGCCAATGGAGTGCAATGAAAGGAGAAATAGGCTTCTCAAACCACTACACCTCCATTCTACTACAATTTAGACACACAGTTGCTGATCTAACTGCTGTATCTGGAAGCAACACAATGCTTCATGAGCAAGACGTCACCCACTCCATGGCAACCCAAGATTGGCTTTCAAACTCGCCAATCTGTGACACAGAGGCCATGCTGGTGGCACAAACTGGATGCCATTTGCCATGATTCTACCGGCCCCTCACGAATGCATGTGTAAGCACCTCCGCTAGCGGTATCCTCTCTGCGGCAACATAGCGCAAGCACTGCTGCATCAGCTGGACAACTTCCTCATTGCCGCACCTGGGGTACTCAATCCGATGACTGGGGTCAACGATGGCATTTATCTTTGCATGCTTGTTCCCAATGTCCTGAAACGGCGTCCTGGAGTACAACATCTGGTACAGGATGCACCCAAGGCTCCAAATGTCCGATGGCCTGCCAACCTTGGACTTAGGCACCAACGTTTCTGGTGCCATATAGTTCAGGGTGCCAACCTGTTGCTCCCTATGAATGCTAGTCCCTTGTTCTTCCATTTTCTTTGCTATTCCAAAATCGATCAGCTTGAGGGCTCCCTTCACCATTAGGAAGTTGGCGGGCTTCAGATCCGAATGCACTATCCGTGCACCATGAATAGCAATCACAGCCTCGACCATCTGCTCAAACAGCAACCGAATGAAGTTCCAGTCTGGTTCAGTGTCACCTTTGGCCTGCCTGAGAGCCTCTCGGTTGTGCAGAAGGGTTGCAAGGTCAATTTCTCCAAGCTCCTGAAGCATGTACACCACTCCTGCCTGCTTGTAGCATTGGTGGTCAACCAACTGCACAATCTGAGGCTCTCTCCTCAAGTACTTCAACAGCTTCACTTCCTCCAGAACGCCGCACAGCGTCTCCTTGTCGCACTTGTCAACGAGACAACGCTTCAGGGCATATATCACATTGTCTCTAGGATCTAGCACCTTGAACACTGTACTAAAGCCCCCAGTCCCCACAACCTCCAGTTTGTAGTACTTCTTGCCCTTAATGTACACAGTCTCATGGTTTTCTGGTGCACGTCCTGTCTCCACAATGTCTTCCTGGAAGAGCTGAACTTCGCCCACATTTTTCAGGAGCACAGTCTTCATGGGCTGGACAGCAGCGGGCTTTGGCAGTGGCGGGTGTGTCCCAGAAGGCGGCTGAATACCACTTCCAGGTGCTGCGCCTGACCCTGGGCCCCAGACCTCTTCCCCATAAGGCTGGCTGGCTTGATGGGCCCTGTCCTGCATTGCCGTCGATGGCTGTTGCCTTGCTTCCTTGCAGGTAGCTGCACCAGCCTCACCACCATCCTCCCTTCTGCCCCGATCTGGTATTAGGGTGCAATAAGTGCATGCACTGCAGGTCGAATGCTGGCATGCAGAATGCCCAACACCATCGTTTGGGTCATTGCGGCCAGTACGAGATACCCGGCCACCGTTGCTTGTGGACTGCCCAGCCTTACCATCCAGCTGCATCGGCTGTCTGCCAGCATTGTTGCTGCCATGATGGCCTGCATCTTTGGAAGAGGCAGGCTGAACCCCAGAACTCGATTCATGTCGTCCTGTGATGATGGCTCTTGAGTTAGCACTCTGGCCGTATAGTGCATTTTCGCCCCAAAGCTGTCCACCACTGCCTCCCGTTTGATGTTGAGCGCCCTGTTCACTTCCAATCGGCAGATGTCGGCATGAACTTACATCTTGAAGAAGCACCTTGCTGGCATCGTTTTGCTTCCTGGCGCCTATGGCTGTCATTTCATGCACCACAGCCAAGAACGGAAAGACCTTTCGCTGGTCTCTTGAGTCCAAAGCACCATCGGTGGCAAATTGGCCTATGCTCCCAGCCACTTGAAGGTGAGGCTGGAAAAGTGCAGAGGCTTGGAAGTAACTTGCTGCCGGCTCTAGGCACTGACTGTCGCTCTTCATGCCATCAGTGCCCTTTTCTTGCACCTTAGATTTCTTTTCACATCGACTACTCTCTGATTGCTTGGGATCTGATTCCAAGGCTCCACCATCCCCATCCAGTTTGCGCTTCATTCCAGAGCTCTCAATCCCTGTTTCATCGTTCGGTTGCGAAACTGATCTTGGGAAGCGCTGAGCAACCCCAAAGCAAGACGACCTTGCCTTGGCCCTGCTGGGTGGCTTGGTAAACACCGACAGCATTGCAGTCCCCGTTGTTCCATTTTCCCCACTCTTTTCTGCTGATAGGACCGTTTCACTCCTTCCAACTGGTGTCAATCCACAGGCAGCCAGCTGCTCCGAATTCTGTAGCGCCGTCAAATCCTGGCCGAAGCTCCCAACACCACTGAATCCAAGACGTCTCACAACCGGCCCATCAGAATTTTCCACCCCAGAAGCTCTTGCGGACATGCACGCTGTACTGTCATGCTGTCGAGCGGCGGAGGGACGGGTCTTAACTGCGGACTGCAACGTGCAGGTCAAACCCGCGGCAGACGCACTTATCCAGGGGCGGTAGGAGTAGCAGCCGTCCCTTATGTCGGAACTGGCTGTCTCCAGAAGCTCCCTGGGCACGGCACCGCGACCCAACCCTTTGGCCAATACTGCCAACGCCTTGGCCTCGTTCCCTGATTTCATTTACAGCCCAGCGCATTCAAGAAATATGGGAGCGTATCTCCCCTTGCTCTCGCAGATCAAGTCCTTGAACAGCGTCCGGCCAGTCCGCTCTCTGCCCCACAGCCGCCTCGCGTAGCCGATCTGCAGGTCCCAGTACGCCGGATCCGCCCTGTTCTCTTCGAAGGGCACTTCCTTGGTGGCCCATCTGTACAGGTGCGAGATCGTCACCTCCACCATCTCCCTGCCGCCGATGCTCGCGCCAGTCCTCTCCGTCGATCTCACGTCGCCGGCCTCCGCCTCCTCCTTGATCAGGAGCGCCAGCCAGGCGTCGGGCGTCTTGGGCCGCTTCAGCACGGCGCGGGCCAGCGAGTCGTCGTACCCCTCCCCCGCGGTGCGCCTCTGATGCACGTATATCCTCAGGCCGTCCTTCCAGCCGAGGGAGCCCGGCGCCATTCAGCCGCCGCCCGTGCGTGCTCTCAGCCGCGGCGCGGCATCCGCGGTTGGTGGGGCGGAGCGCCGGAAAGCACGCGCGGTGGCGGTCGCGGACTCGCGTTCCTGCACCCGGGCCTCTGCCTTCGTCCGCCGTGGGTGCGGGGGAGTGTTGGGCCACTGGTCCCCGGAATGTGCCGACAGGGCCTGAGTTTCTGGCAAATCCTGCCCTCTTTGCTTGACATGAGATTGGTCGATGATGTTGGGGTGGGCGCTTTCGAACGACTGCGGGTGCGCCTCTTGTGGGGTCCAGCGACCGTCGGTCCGCACCGCGGAGCAGCGCATGCCAGGGTGCGGCGGGCGCCGTGGACCGCTGGCCATGGCAGTCGACGTTCTGGGTTCAATGGGCGACGAGATTCGGGCGCGCAGTCCTGAGGCAAGCGGTGCGATGCCGATGGACAACGGGAAGGTCAGAGGTTCGCAGACAGTTGTCGCGTCGACCGCACGACCGTGAAGCGCGAGAACCCCCTTCCCGTGTGGCCTGTGCAGCGGTGCCTGCAGGGCGCAGCTCAAGTTCCGACGCCGTGGCGCAGGCACTCAAGCGGAGCAAAGTCAGACAGGCAGTTTCGGTCGTGTGCACGCTATTCCCGCATGTCTGCAAGTGGCCGAGGGCGGGGCGGTGTGCACTCTCAGCGAAGTTTTGTTCTCGCTGAAAATTACACTCAGCACCACCGGTATTTCTTCTCCTTCGCCGGAGGAGCATTTAGGCGGGAGACGCTGCCGACGCCACGACAGTCGTTGCGCCGTGGGGCTGCATGCAAATTTTGAACGCTGCGCTGTGTCGCTTGGGGGGAGTCGGGTTTTGATTTGCCTGTGGTCGTCTTCGAGCACCTCGCTGGTGCACTGTTCAGCGGGTTGACCCCCCGATACTGAGCTGAGCCCTCACGGATCTGAAGTCCCCACAGGTTGTAGCTGGACAACTGGCGTAGTCACTCCAGTTTTGTGGTTCTTCAAAGCCTGGAAACTCATCAGCCGACATTCGTAATTTTGCACCACAACCATGCTCCAGAATCAATGCTATTTGTTGTCATAAACAAAGCAAGAAAACGCTTACGAACTGCACACCATGTACTTTAAGATGCACATCTCATTGGCGGGTCCATGCAAGATGCAATTCTGATAATCAACTTTCATCTTCACGATTGTCGATGGATGGGACCGTGTAGCAGTACCATACGCTCCCAGAGGATTAAGGAGGCGACCTAAGTTATTTGGACTCTTTGTCACGTGGAGTGCTTCGTCAGCACTCATGCACAGCTATCCCCTAGCGATTGCCAAATACTGCTGTTCTCAAGGCATACATTTGTTTGGTGTTCAAGTCTGATTCCACAAACTTGTGCAAGACTGCAGTGTCCACTGATCAGTTTCTTTCGAGTGGAAAGTGGCTTGTGATGAAACTAATTTCCAATACATGTATTAGATTTGGAACTGGGAAACAGCAGCGTGGGCTTGGCCACGCGTTCAATAACCAGCAGCTGTCCGATCAGCAGAGCAACACCAGTCAGGGAACCTGCCCCATCAAAGCTGTGGGAAAACAGAATGAAGGAGGGGACCAGCAAGTGTAACAAGAATGGATGTTGAACCTTTGGATGTGCACAGAAGATTCTTTGCAGCGGTGAGAGTGGAAGAGCTATCAGAAGCAGCTCATCGGATTTTTGCATTTTGTCCTCCCACAGGAAGTGCATGAGACGGATCCTGGAATCGAGATTTCCCCCTTAGGTCGCAGCCCTTCAGCAGTGTCATCAAAACTGGGAGCTGTTCTTTGTGAAGAAAAGAACGCCCATGCCATCGTTGGTTTTGGAAGATGGCAAGAGTACATAACTCTGCTATGGGAACTAACTGTTGGGATGGCGGTGCGACTTGGTGGATTGAATCTGCCACATCCCTATGCAAGATCACTCTCCCTGCTGGCCCTGCATATCATGGACATCCGTGATTGTCCCTCAAACGACTGGTTTGTCAATTGCAAAGCTGTGGTGAGTAGCAACAGGGCTGCAGGCAGGGCTGCGATTAGAAGAGCTCTTGGGAGTCAAACCTTCTGCTCTGCGTCTTAGAAGACTGAGGACACCAGCTGAATCCAAGCTTCGCCCACAACTTCGTTTGTTGAGCCGGTTAAGGTATCTCGTCCAAGCTTAAGCGGGAATGTGTGTGTCTCCACTTGACTGCCTGATCAATGAAGAGCTGATTCATTGCTTTGAGTGTTTTTTTGCCAGACACAGGACAAGTGTTCTTTCAGGACGAGCAACAGCATACGAAAGCTGGCAGACACAAAACATAAGGGCACCAGTGGACACGGTGAATTTGATGAGCGGAGTTTTTGCATCAAACTTCACGAAACGTTCCATGAGTTGGCAGCCGCTTGCCGGGTGCTTTTGGGTTACTTTTGTTCCTGTCCAAACATGGATGCAGGCCATTTCATCTCTGCGTGTACCATCAAGCGCTGATGTTTTATTTGCTATGACATAAACAAGCGGTGGAGCCTGACTCTTGGGTGCCATTGACTGACCCACTGGTGCTGAGTCGTCTGTGGCTCATTGATACACAGATGACCCGATTTCCCAAACACACTATACCATGCAGTGATTTCTGGGCAACATTGCTACTCAAAATTTCCAGAAAACCAGAACATATAGCGAGATTGCACCCTTGGTGGCATATCAATCCTATCCAGGAATGCCCATCTCAGCTGCTGACTTTGTCGATTTGTCAGATGGTGTTTTGTTTTCTTCCCGCATTTTGTCTGCAATCTGCATGAGTTGCTCCACGTCGATGCTGAAGTCATCCTTCATAGGACCACACATCTCTTCAAGCAAATGCCGCAGCTCTGCCTGTCCCAGCTGCTCCCCAAGAAATCCAAGTGCAGCCTCCAACTCTTCACGAGATATCTGCTTTCCAACCACACATGTTCTGTGACATACCACGCATCAAGCAACCACAGGCACACGTGTGCCAATGTGGTGCAGCAAGGCAAAAACAGAAAGCCAATTCGCAAGAGAGGGACAAAGGAATGCATGACAGCAGTGCAAGAGGACAGAATCAAGGAGACAGGGCGTTCAAGTAGGCAACCACGTTGTAAAGATGCCAAGAAGGCCAAGAGGTGCTGTGTGGTGAGGTGAGGACTGGGAGTTTGCAGTAGCCTTGGTGAATATTGAAAAGGACACGCACCAATGTTAAACAATTGTTCCCAGTTCACGTGTGCTGTGCTGTCATTGCACGACTTGGAGGAATTCAGCAGGCTTTAAACATGGATCGTGAAGTGGTGTGGTGGACAGTTTCATGCCGGTGTGTGAGCATACAGATTCACTTTGAATTCCTGAGAAACACATCATGCAATAGATCAACCCCATTCTGATAACCAGAGTGTTCGCGGTGTGGGTGTGTGGGTACATAGGGTGCATGGGCCACGCACCAGGCCGTCATCGTCGGTGTCCAAGAGGTGGAGCTTTTCGCCTATTTGATGGTCCACGTAGTCCAGTTCCTTCTCGATCCTGTGGAGAATACTGGACACCTTCCCTTCCAGTTTCTTGGATATGTAGTCGCCAGGAAGTTCTGGAAGCTCTGCCGGGCGCCAGGCCTGATAACAGCAACTAAAATCACGCTCCGCTGGATTGCAAAATCTAACAGGCTTCCCACCAAACATCGAACTTGCACGACTTGTGAAATGCCTTCTCCACAGCCAATCAATCTGCTTCCTCACTCTTGCCAACCCACGAATTAGGAGTGGCTGTGATGAAGACATCATAAAGTTCGGTACTAGCAGAAAGCAGCTACTTAGAACTGCACTGTTGCCCTGACTTCAACAACGTGCAGTGCTTGATCCCAACGGTTCCAGATGAAAGTGGTCTGAAACAGGCATTCTTTCCCATATGAACCGTACGACCCACGAAAATTACAAGAATTGTTGGAGCCCGTGCACAAGCGAAGGAACAATTGTGGAAACGAGCCTGAGCACGGCAGTGAACCAGCAACGCTGGTGACCGAAATCACGATGCACCTCTAGCCCTCTGCTGGTGAAGCGAAGAGAAGCGCCTCCTCTTTGGCTCATATCATCTTGTATGCGATTCACCTCGCGTTTGACCAGCTCCATGAATTTCGAACGCTCGCTGCTTACTCCGGATTTAGATGACAACACAGCCAAGGCATTCAGCACCTGTCCATGCACACTTTTGTCATGCGGCAAGACTACTTACGACAAAATGTTCCTCAGCAACCAGCAACGTGCAAAAATATGCAAAGTGCACTACTCGGACATCGCCAGCCCCGACGCAGTCTCACATGGTGTTCAGCTGTGCAGAATTTGTAGCGGCAGTCCGAAACAATCCTGGCCCTACAAGGTTGCATTGTCTCAATGCGGGCACATGCTGGGCCTGCTTGCAGTACATATCAGCCCATGCTATCAACATCAAGGCGATTGCGCGGCCCTGCCATGTGTCATGCGACCTAGCCCTGGCGCAACCTGGAAACTGGGTTCTACCTTCTTCATTTTCTGCTCTCTGGCTTCTGCGAGTTTGTGTGCACGTTCTTCTTCAGATTCCTCTGATGCAGATTTGAAGGCATCGCTCAGCAGCTGCGCCTCTGCCGCTTGCACCACCGCAGCGGCAGTTGTAGTGGCTGCCATGGAGCGGCCAACACTGCCTGGAGACGCCTTGCATTCAAAAACAGAAAGATCATCGCACTGGTGCGTATTGCAATTTACATATAGAGTGCAAGCAATGGCCGAAAGGAAGCAGAGCCGCACCACATGGGCATCCAATCAAACTCGATGCAAACAACACCAGGGCCCTTTGACTAGAAGTTGCAAACAACATTCCATACTTGCAAGCCGTAAGAAAAACATAATATGTGCCACTCCCCGACTCCATGTGTTCCACAGGTCACAAACCCCACAATTTTTAGAACAGTTCTAGCTCTGTGCAGAAAACAGAATACCCTGCACAACATGATCATTGTTTCATCAAGCAAGTACCTCAGATGCCTCTGCTGGTTGACCTGTTATATTCAGCTCTTGTTGAGCCTGTGCCTCAGCTTCATCGCGAATCAGTTGCTCCTTACGCTTGATGTACTGCAGCTTCTTCGTGTTGTCCTCGGACCTGCCCATCCCAACGACGCAATTTTCGGCACACGACCCTGGGATTCAAGCCGCAAGGTGCCTTCAAAGCCACAGACACCAATGCATCCAGCAATGAATGCAATGGGGACTTAAGGATGAATACAACACTGCATATAACATGGCCAAACGCTTTGCTAATCTCACTGCCACTGCTGAAGAACGATGCTGAAACAGCGCCCAAATCTGATGGTCGACAGCAAGCCACCATCGCTAACTTCTGTACTTACTCATCTCGTAGGACCTCCATGGCCACATCTTCTGTGACAAAATCAGGAAGTGTTGACAGTGTGTTTTTGAAGCTTTCCAGTTCCACAGCCTTCTTCTTCTCCATGCCCACAATGGGCAATGTGACTGTGAATGTGCGAGACAGCAGCAGAAGTGAGGATGGCAGTGCCCTACACGCGGTCAGTCCCACAGTCTTGTCAATGTGACATGTGTCATATCACTGTTCTCAGTTTGTGGCTTTTGACAGCGCACGGTCTGGTGTCTGATGTGCTCTGGAACATGCAAGCTCTTGCCATTGATGGAGTGTTCTCCCATGCCACTCCTGTGATAGGTTGCATGGGAGCGACGCAACAGCATACCAAACTGACCATTGGTTTTGGTGTTTGGTGGTCACCAGGGAGTTGCAGTGTGACAACCTTTGGTCAGAGCACACATGCCATTGTGTGTGGGGTCCACACTATGCACCACAGTGCTCCCACAAGGCCCAAACGGTGGTAAAGGCCAACTACATGTGAATATTGTTTGCACCCAGCTGGTGTAAAAAACATTTTGATTTCAATGACATTCAATGGCCAAAATGTGTTCCAGTTTCGGTTATAGCAATTCATGGAAGCAGCATGCACACCTCTGTTATGAGGACAATATTGCATCAATAGAAATGGTCAAAAGTTATGAAAAAGAATGCAGTTACTCCTAGCAGGTGACGAAGAGCAGAAGAACAAAATCAGTGATTGTTAGATGTCATGAGATCAAGGTTCCACACATTGCCCAGCTGCACTTGTGACAGGGCACCACAATCCAGTGTTGGGTCATTTCCGGCTGGCCCTAAAGTGCTCTTCATTTCAGAACCCTGCAAGCACATAACAACGCTCCCTATGCATCTCCAAGATCGTGTATTTAAAGATAAGATCAAACAGCTTTTCTGCACTGCAGTGCAACTCGTCCCAGCAGTAAATCTATGCAACTGGCCATTGCATTGGTCAGGATTTTGTTCAAGATCCAATGACTGAATGGTACTATTGCAAGAATGCAACAGCAGTACTCTGGTCTTGAACCTCCTGCACGACTGTGCCTCAACACACCTGTCTAAACTCAGCTCCAGCCAGTCCTCCATTTGAGCCTTCATGAACTCCCTTGCGCCTTCACCATATGGTGCCCTCATGCCACGCGCTCTACTTGCCTGGCGTAGCTCATCTTCTGTCAAGGCATCCACGCCCTCAGAGCGAATGACCAAGTCATCACGCTTGATGTAGCCAAGGTGCGCTCGCAGGCGGGTTTGGAGGAAGCTGTCTGTGCCAAAAGGGGATAAGCCCACAAACTGTGGAGCATGAGAAACCAAGGGTCACAAGCAGAGTCCCAGTGGGCAGTGAAACAGCATGTCACTGAGCATCACCTGCCAGGATGGACAAGGGCGATTAATGAGATCAATGACAACGTAGAAACATTCAGTACTTGAGGGAGATGGTGTTCACAGCTGAAGTGGCAGATCGAAAACTCAAACAAGTACTGCTGGATGTTGAAAGGCTACCAGCTAACAACTTGCCAGAATGATCTCCACCAACCCGACTGTTTGCAGTTGGCCAGATCTGCCAACCTGAACACCAAAATTATGAACCCACCGATTCTGCACAAGGACAACAGGTCATCCATACCATTCGACAATGGGACTGGCCTGCTGTAACCCTGGTGATGGCACACCATGTCTGCATGATGTTGTGAACTTCTTGCACATGCACAAGCTTGTTTCCAGCTGAGAGGCTAGCCGCCGAGTTTGGCCATTTCAACACACCCCAATATGCCCCAGATGGAGGGAACCACTGCCAACATCTTCAGAGAGCCAACAGCCATTTGCCGCAGAGTCTCACCTGGCACATGCTCACAAGTTGCACACGATCAAGGTTGTCAAGTGTAATCTCATCATTGAACAACTGCCCAAAGCGGATGATGTCATTGTTGTCCACAGGTTCGCCCCTTCGAACCTACAAGGACAAACATTAACATAGTATCAGCCATTCGTTGGATCACAAGTAAACACTCAAGCAGGTGCTCCCATACAAAGCCCTTCCCATTTGATGCATAATCAATGCCCAGAAACAGCATACAATGCATCTTGTTGCCTCAAACATGTCTGACAATGGGTTGCTCCTTCACCCCCTCTGCCAGGACGTTTTTCTTGCTATTGGTGTTGCTTGTGCTGTGCACTCCTCAGCTCACACTGAGAGACTCTACATCAGTTTCTCACAGCACAGAAAGAGTCTCCCACACACTTGCTCAATATTGGATGCTCTCTGTGTGGTGTATCTCATTTGACCGCAATGCACATACTGCAGAGAATAGGGGATAATGTCCCCTGGCATTGAGCATTTCTGTCAATATCTGTAAAATGGGCACAGGAGGGTGGGGGGTGCATCGCTATAACCCCATGCTACGCGACACTTGAGGTGGAGTGCCCCCCATCCAAGCAACTTATGGGGAGCCACTCACTCTCACCACCACGTGGTGGCACCACCGCACACCACTTTGTGCACCTTGCGCCATCCATCCCTTTAGGTGTTGGTTCTCTGATGTGTTGGACTGCTTAGATTTTCATACTAGCAGTAAGATGATCGATTCAGTTGACTTAGATAATATGATCTAAGATTAGGAATGCTGGACTATGGATGAATCAAGGGGTGCACACCAAATGAAGTGTATACACTCAGAATTTATTTGGTGTATTGCAGCTGGGTGTGGCAAGCATGTTTGAAGTCTGATATGATGCTGCTAATGTGATGTCCTAATACGAAGATGCTATGTTCAACATTGGTGTGCAGCAGCTTATGTGTGTGGCATTGTGGCTGGTGCTGTTACAATATTCTGCGATTGTGTGTTGTGATGACTGTGCTGTTGGACACAACCACACGTAAACTACCATTGTAAAGGGTTTTCATGTCTCGAACATGTATTGCATTTGATGGGGTGTGCCTATTGTGCTTTTGAGCCCCTTCCATAATCTAGCGTTTCCCCCATGTTATCCAAAGTTCTGCCGCACTAAGCAACAACAAGAATTATCAATAACGCAAGGGGGATGTCATCCCAGCAGATAATGGGCCCCCTGCATTATCTAGAGTATCTGCGTTATCCCCATTCTCTACATTAAGCAGCACTTCATCTGGATCTATGAAAAGTGAATCAACAACGTGATGGCATAGGCCCTGCCCTTCTCCTTGACGGCTCAAGATATAACAAAGGTTGAGTCATATCTGAGGAGGAAGTCTCACCAAAAACCAAAACTGTTGGGTCATTCCAATATATCCAGTTGTACTGTGCAACTTTTGCCTACCTCAATTGCTTTTTAACAGTCACTCTGCATGTGCAGGCTGACCACTTCAAAACGGGCAATCAATGGCATGGCGCACATTGTGTGCACCTGTCTCAAGAACACTCACACGTTTCATGAATTGGTAAAGTTCTGCAGCTGATGCCTGGACATCTCCAGTCCGTTTTTGTCGCAGATCCCTTGCCATAAGAGCAACAGTGTCTTGGAGAAAATGTGCCACTTGGAGTTTTGCAGCCAGCCGCTTCTTCATTTCTTCCTCCTTTTTCAACTTGTCTTCAAATGTTGAGGGAAGCATGTTGGGAAACAGTCGTAGAGCCACAGGCAGTAAAAATTCTAGAAAGGGAACCACCTATCGCAGCAACAGAAACGATTTCAGAAGACTATGCCAGATTCAAGGACAGGTGCCACTTTCTATAGCTCAATGCACTTCTTGACAGTGCCATGGGCACGTACCAGCATAATAATCATGGGCACAAGTCGGAATATGTCGGCCACTGTTCTCATCAGGTGAGTGTTCTCACGTCTGCATAGCACAAACAAAAAGTTAATGTCAGTCTTGAAAACATAACAAATCTCTTGCATCCTCGCCATGCAGATTGTGAAGAAATCTGATATCTCCAATATGGGAATCCCCTGCTTTGGAACATTTCTCAATATTACAGTGCCACATTAACATTCTCCAGATCAAAAAGCAATGACAAAGTACATACATTTTCCATGACAGAACACTGAAGTGCTGCAACTCTATCGGTGGGTGCTATTATCCCAGTGGTGCTATTTGGACCGCATGTGAAAAAACCAACTTTAACCGTTGGGGAGCAATAGCACCCCAATGCTATTCGGCACCGAGTGGGGCTACTAGGGCAACGAATGGCACCGTTCAAAGCCAAGTAGCACCCCAGTAAAGGAGCCAGTGCCATTCATGCAGAACATGGCAGTGGCGCCCTGATGCTATTCGGTACAGCTATAGCACCTATCGTTACAGATGCACATGGGGAGCAATATCACAGGTTCTATTTGGCAAATGCTGCATTAGTCATGTGGCACGCCAGCCAATGAGAACCATTCCTGTATAGCACCGTTGGTGCAATAGCACCGACCGATAAAGATGCTCAAAGGTCACTGAGACCCAGCTGCAGATCAGAATGAATGCTTGATCTCCACCATCAACCCGAATTTGAGCTGCTCACACGCCACCCCAGCATTGGGGTGGCTGCTGAGGTTGAATTCACCTGGTTAGCTCCTTTCCCATAAGAATCTTAAAAATGAGTCTATTTGCTATGCCCACTTCCGTCACGAACAGTTTGGTTCCAACCTGAGGCAACACACAACGGTCAAGTTACGAAAGCTCCACAAAGTGGAAGCCAGCAGGATGGTTCATATTTCATTGCCTTCTGCACCCTGTTACGCCTGAAACAATACGTACTTGCATGCAACATTCGCAGAATGCTGTGGCTTGGACGCATGCTAGGGCCGCCATTCCTGAACTGACACATTCTCATTGGTTTTCATTTGTGTTCCCTGCATGCCCAAAGGTAGACTACAAGCAATATGCCTTGCACAGTGGAACTGCAAGTGCGGGCACACAACGATCGCCCTGGCCAACCCGACCTGCTGACTCCCTTGGCAAAGCGGCGTTCAGCTTGCTAAGCACCCAGTCAATGGGCAAGAGTGCGCCGCTGCCCAGAAGGCCTGAATGTACTGCAGTGGATGGTGCCTAACGGATCCGCACACAAGCGTCCGCGCTCAAGATTGAAACCTCCGAGCGCACTAGCCAGACGCTGCCAGGCGAGATCCTCTGCGTCGGCCGCCATGCGACGACAAAGCGCGCACTCGATCGCCGTCGGCCCCGCGCATCGCCAACGGCCCACGACGCACCCAGTAATGCCTCGCCCCCTCCTTCACGCTCTTCCACGTCGACCGCATCCACCGCGCCTTGGTGGCCGCGGGCGACGTCAGCGCCGCCCAGAAGGCCAGCGGCATCCCGGCGATCAGCCGAAAGCACCAAACGACGGCCCTACGCGTCGCTCCCGCGGCCGCAGAGGCCGCGGCGCTTATCGGCGCCGCGCTCGCGGGAAACGACGACCGGTACGATTTATCCAGCAGCCTGTCGTAGTCGTCGATAGCCCGATCGCACTCCTCCGGCGACGGTTTGCCCGCGCCGGGATCCGCCCCCTCCCCTTGGGCCCCCCGGTCACCCGGGTCGCCCAACGGCCCGCCGTCGTCCACCTTGGCCGCGCAGCCCGGCTCCGGATCCTCCTCCGCTCGCAGGGGCTCCGCGGACAGCTTGCGCAAGAAGCTCAGCGCGCGCTGGGCGTCGATGATCGCGCCAGCCTGCCACTCCGCTCCCCCGCCTTGCCCGGCGCGCAGGCGGACCCCCCGCAGATCCAGCGTCCGCAATCCCAAGTGCTCCTGCCCCCACGGGGGATCGGTGTCGGCTGGGGCGGGTTTGTTTTCCGCCCCGCTGCCGGTCCATGCTTCTTGCGCAGGGGAGGAGTGGGGGGAGGGACACGGAAGGCCGTGGTTGAGGGCTGCCGCCAGCGCCTCCCAGCAGGCGTCCTGCCCGTGGCCGCAGCCGCCCGCCCGCTTGAGGGTACCGCCCAGGGACCTTCTCAGCATCGCCCCGGCGCCCGCGCGGGCCGGCGCGACGGGCCTGCGGGGCTGCTGGGCTGGTCCTGAGGCCCCGCTTCCTCACCATGCACCGCGCCGGCAGCGAGACCTGAAATGCTCGGAGTGTGTCATCCTGGCGTGGATGGAGTGAGGCGAGGCGCGCGGTTAGCGTGAAGGAGGGCGGAGCGCACTGACGGGATGCAGGTTGACAAACAAAGCTCCTGCCACTTGGAGCAGGAGGCAGGAGCTGTTTTTACCACCTGAATTTCAGGCCTTTTCCCGCGGGAGGGCTAACTCCAGCAACCCGTCACACGTGACAGAGGCAGTCCTGGGGACGGTGCCGCAGATTGTTCGGATTGCCATTGGCAGCGCCGCAATCCGCGCAGAGGCGTGTTGATGCTGCGGTGCATGATCTTCATCCAGAATCCAAGCGGTTTATCGTCACACGTGGCAGCAGGTATAAGAGGCCACACTTGCTGTATTGCCGACACAAAATGCAATTGCAGCATGCACGCAGATGCTCACAGCACAAAGCTGTGGTGCTTGCCGTCGTGTCTTCTGTGGCACAGAATCTGTACCCCACACCATCGGACAGCATGTTGCTACATAGCACATTCCTCGTTGCACACCACACGACGCCCTCTTCGTTCTCCACTCACGCCTCTTCCTCATCCAACATTTGAAACTGCGTTCATCTTCATGTAATGGCAATTTCCACTGCTCCAGTCATGCATCAACAGTGTGTGGACTTGCCATAAATACATTCAAATCCACATCCAAGCATAAGAACATCTGAACATACAGAGGCCTGGGATGTCCTATAAGTGCGAAAGTAAGTCGCTTCTTGCATATCTTCGTGGTGAAATACCAATAGGAAAGACTCATATGCTGAATGCCATGGATTTTGGGATGATGATATGTAGCCTATCAGTGAGCTGTGTTGGATGCGTTGCCACTTGTACACAACGCTTCAACTGCACAGCACAGGCAATGCTCGTCTTGCTGCCTTGAAAAGGTGTGAAAAGGTGCGACTGTGCTCTGGAACACATGCTCTCGAGCATTGGCCAATATCACGTCTCATGAAGCGAAAAAAAGGAACTAAAAGGCAAGAGAGCACCAACAAATTCTACACAAAAGCGCATGGCACAAAACCCCCACTAAGCCATTCACTTGTCTGCCAAGTTGACACACCCTTAGATGCAAATGTACAGGTTCTCTTAGCCCTCCAAGACTGTTCCAATCAATACAATTCTGAATGGCATAACTGCACGTCATTGCTTCTCATAGGAAAGGGCAACACCCTGAGTTCCCAGCTCGCCACCCTTGCCGCTGTCCATCTCTCCCACTTGTTGGAATTTCTGCCAGGCAAGTGTAGTGTTTGGCAGCTCCTCGCCCACAGAGGCTGCTGTCTCGGCAATGAGCCTTAAGTCTTTGGCCATATGCTTGATCATGAATCCCGGTGCATAGTCTGCTGATGCCACCTTCATGCCCAGGTTGGACAGGACCCATGAACCAGCAGCCCCTGAGCTGCAGACGTCAACTATCAACTGCTGGTCGAGTCCCTGCTTCTCTGCAAGTCGCATGGCTTCACACAGGGCCACCATATGCCCAGCAAACAGCACCTGCCCAGTCCAATCCCTATTTAGTTGCTAGTTGCGCAAGCCATTCTGCACGTTTGGAACTACCAATTACCCATCAAAACCTGAACCACACCAAGGACATGAGAAATCGATTCTGTTTCTTCTGGGCATGCAAGTATGGTAGTCTCCTGCTTAGGGCACCACCATGATTTGCTGACAGAGCACAGGCCACGTCCTGAAAGTGTGAGCAACCAGGGATTTTGATTTCAGAGTACTCCTGGAGAAGACTCAGTCTGCTGAAAACTGGTACAAAAGTGCTGGCCAAAGTTTCACAAAAACGGAACACATGGCAGTGCAATCTTGGTTCACATTTGCTCCACCACGAAATCCCAATACCATTGCTGCAAGTGTCAAGTTTTCAGATCATTATCTTGCCCAACTCATGGGACACCAACCTACAAATTCTGATTAGAACGTTCCTTTGACTCCAGTATCGGGTATCCGTAGCTGTCTTTTCTGCACCTCAACAAGTCGACTCTGCTGGGATTGTATGAGTGGAGCTCAAGCAATTGTACACTTCGGCTGAATAGAGTAGAATGCCTTTGATCAAGCTACTGTCTTGAGAAATACCTGCAGACATGGGGTGCTGCAGAATTCAAGGCATCCAATCCATATTCAAGGCAAGGTGGCTCTTTGTGATCCCAGCATGACCGCATCTGCTCTCTCGCGTAGTTCATTGCCAAGACCCCATTCATGATGCGATCTCAATCCTCGCATTGGTCAAGCCAAACGACGATTTGCCGCCCACAATCCCAGACAACGCCGCCAGCCACCAAGCCGCATCCAACCTCACCAGCGCCGCGCCCCGACCGCCCCCATGTCACCTGATTGCACATCTTCACCGCCTGCCCGGATCCCAGCGGCCCGCACAAGTGCACCGCCCTCCCCATCGCCTCGAAGCACGGCAGGCACTCCTCGTAGTCCTCCCGCTCCCCGCCCGCCATGATCGTCAGCGTCCCAGACCTCGCGCCCACGTCGCCACCGGACACGGGCGCGTCCACGAACCGCATCCCCCGCCCCTTCAGCTCCGCGCCCACGCGCCGCGCGGCCTCCCGCCCGATCGTGCTCGTGTCGCAGAACAGCGTCCCCTCGGCCGCGAGTTGGCACAAGCCGTTCGGCCCCGCCAGCAGCTGCTCGACATCTTTTTCGTCGCCCAGGCACGTGAACACGATGCCGGCGCCCCTGACTGCGGCCTCCGCGGAGTCGACCACCGACACGCCGGCATCCGCTGCGACATGGGCGCCCGGCCGCCCCGGCGTTCGGTTCCAGCCGGCCACGGAGAAGCCGGCGCGCGCGAGGTTGGCCGCCATGGGGCCGCCCATCAGGCCGAGGCCCAGGAAGGCCACCTTGGGCGAGGGGTCCATGGCTCGTGCACGGCGCGAGTGCGGTTGCGGCGAAAGGGGGGGTGGGCTGTGGCCGTCGCGGCCCCAAGGAACTTGTAGATGGGGGGGACGTCGACGTGTCCCAGGGTCATGCTGTGTGTCGATTTGGTCACGCATTAGTAATGCGTGACCACGGCGTTAATCACGGCAGAGTGCATGCAGAATGAGACTCTGGGGACTTCGGATTGGATCTTCCCCCCCCGTCGTCGCCCCGCAGGGTGTTAGGCATTTTTGTCGTGTGTTTTCTGAGGGTGTGCAATCACGCTCAACGCCGAATTGACATGGAGCTCCACCCCCTTCAATCCTGGTGTCAGTGCCAGCAGTACTTGGTCGTGCTACTTGAAGGCACGACACGACAGTCCAGCTCAGAATTCAATGGGACAAGTTGAAAGACTCACGTCAGGAATGCACCGACAACTTTGTGCGCTCCTTGGTTTTGAGGCCCGCGTCATTGGGTGAGCAGCTGTATTTAACAAATAGCCAATCGCGTCACTGTGCTGTGCTGCATTGCAAACACCACCGCCAGTTTAAAGACACCACAAGTTCTGAATTACTACACTGCAGATACCGGGATAAATGTGCGTCACCTCTCGAGTTTGGAACACGCGAACGCATGTGGCTGGAGTGGAGATCCCAATGCCAGCGGAGGCGTGTGGGCCGTGTGGGGCCACAGCAAGACTGGTTTATTGGCCCAGCAAGTGTGGTCAGCTGTATCAGACACTGTTTCAAGTGCCATGCAGGAACGGAAGATGGAATCGGTGGTGCATGCCAATGCGATTGGGCACGCAAAGGCGCCTAAGGTGCTACACCTCAGGCTGCTTGGGTTCCAAGTCGGGTCGTGGCAGTCCTAGGTGAGTGTGGAGAGCAGCGCTATCGTGCGGAAGGTGAAGAAAGGAGTCAGTCTTCAAGGAGGACGAGCAGCCAACACTGCGGCGATCATGGCGGGTTGAAAATGGGGGGTATCTGAGCGATAGCGGGCGCCGGGGACAGCCATTTTGGATGTCAACGTTAGCAAATGACGTAGAAGCAGTGGGCCATGGCGCAGTCAGACTGAAAGAAAGTGAAGCGAGTGGTTTCCTACTTGGGTGTTCAGAAAATTGGCGAACATCTAAATTGAATGTAGACGCAGCCATAAAACGCCTTGTATACGATGAAATATGATATTGGTAATCTGGAGGTTTTTAATGGGATTTTGTTCCACTTTTGTGGGACATTGCCTGACCACCAATGCGTTCGAAAGTTTTTGCCGCTTTTGTCGAGAGTTGTTGCGTAGCATATACGGCAATATCTAGGAAACTGAGAAAAGAGCTGAATATACAACGTGATGGCATCGGTACATGCGTTGTCCCTGAGCAGCTGCAGCAGTGCTCCAGGACGTCCGAAACGAGCTCCAATGTCACATCGCTGACCAACATGCTGTGCACACGGCTTGCCTGCCCTCATTCAATGTGAGGCCTCTCGTGAATGCTTCAACGTGATTGTCGAGGTCCTCTCCACGGGGATGCTTCACGGTGCTCAGAACCATTCGCCACAATGGTGGCACAAGGATAGTGTCCTCGGCGAACTTAACCGACGGAGACGCGCCCAGCAGCATGCAGACACAGTTGTGTTGAAGCATCTGTTCTCCAAAATGTAGTTGCGCGTCTGCCCATTCCTGGGTTCCTCTTTATGGCGCCGACTTGCCTACGCTTGTTGTTATGCAAACCTATCGACTCAAGAGGTAGCCCGTTGCCCGGCAACTTCATGCTGCAGCGCATGCGCTTTTGAAGTGCTGCATGTTCTGCATCCGCATGCTGCATGAACTGTTTGCGCAATTGTGGGCGCATTATGAAGCGGGGATGTGACGCCCCAAGAGTAGTGACCTGCCTGCAACACACACTGTCTCCCACTGCAATCTTTGGGCAGTGATGTCGGCAGCAGCAGCTATCTTCAACATTGATTAATCATCGCCGTCAGCACACCTTCGCGCAGGATTCCAGTGAACATACATGTGAATGGGGTTTCGGTGAGGATCCGTGGGGTATGAAAGTAGGCAATGAGCGGTGCCCCACGGGATGAGCTACTGAAGTATGCTCTTCTGCTGGCCGGTGGTTCCATGGAGTGGGTATTCCAGCACATGTACCGAGAAAATGGCTGATCCTGAAGAAGCGTTTGCTGATGCATATTCTGAGAAGCTGGCACAGGCGAGCGGTACTGTTGTGGTTGCAACAATGTTTCGGCAATTGGAGTACAAGAGGTCGGAGCTGGAAATTGCGGCGCCGCGGCCAGGAACCTGCTTCAAGAACGTCGCCTTCGTTTGTGAGGGTCGATGGGTTGTGCACCCAACAGAGCCACGTGCATTCTACAGTCAGATGCATCCGGCTCCCAGTGGCCACGGGGATATGCGGCATATCATATGCCCATGGGCATATGTCTGTAGGTATTCTTCAATGTGAACTGGGGGAGCAACGGCGACGTACATTTTGAGAAGTTGCCACAGTTGCTGTTGTCGAGCCTTGCCACCATTTCAATGTTCGCAGTCAGGCACGGAAACTGCCACGTTGCCGCCAGGAACGCGCTCCGAAGCAATTCCCTTCATTACGTACGTGGTTTGATGGGCCACTGCGAAAGTGTAGCGTGCTGACGAAGGCAGGCAGGATCGAGGGGTGGCGATCCCTGAACGGGAATCGTACGCTCGAGCCCACGGTAACGGTTTACAGCCGAGGCAAAAGGACAACAGGAGTTATGGCCCTTATATTCAGTCCGTTCATCAATGCCCTTAATGCAATTCCTGATGCCTCATCATCTCTGCATGCATTCAGTTGTTAATAATACTCAATCAGTTCTGGGTACAACAGTGCCTTATTTCAGTGTCCACGTGGAAATTCGCCGCGAACTCTGGGGAGAAGTTTCGGAGTCAGGCACAATACCTGGGGGCACTACTGATTTCCAGTCTGTTGCCGACAGCCAGCGCAAACGCTCTCCGCCTAAAGGGGAGGCGCGTCTCGGCCCCGGCATTCAAAATCTTCCGCAGCTTGAGCTGGGCTGCGGGCGCGCTCGATTCTGCCCCGCAGCACAGCACAGACGTCGAAAGGCTGCGGATTCGAAGCACAATGGGGGACGGCGGCCATAGGTGCCGCACCCGCTTCAGCACACGTGGTGCGCAGCCCTTACGCGTGCCCGCGGTCGGCGCTCCGCGCGCGCGGCAGGACAGCGGGGCGCAGTGCCCCGTGTCGGGCAGCCTTCCGATGGGCGCCGAAGCGCCACCGACTGCTGCAAAGAAATCGCGACCAAAACTGACATGGCGAATTTGCATCCATGATGAGTGCGACGATCAGGCAGAGGCAATGTGCATACCGGGCAAGTCTGTGCACCCGAACGCCGTTCAGGGCCGAGCACAGGGTCGTCTGCACAATCGGCGCACGCTCACATCGCGCGATGTGGTGTCGGCCTCAGTGGAGCGATACGGGCCCAGTATGGGCACGGCTCCCGACACGTCCACCGGCACCCCAGAATGTATGGGCAGTCGTGGGATCTCGCCATGAATCGCTCCGGGCCATGCAGGGCGAGCCCCACATGAATTCCCCTACGTGCGCCTGCTGGCGCAGAGTCGCGCGGGACACGGGCGCCCATGTCGGCCGGCCGCTGCGCTTAGGCCGTCGCAGCCCGCCTTCATTCTAGGTGCTGTCAGCATTTTGCACGCCCACAATGGTGGAAGCGACTACGGCAGCACAGTGCGCCCCCCGCGTGCTTCCTGGGGCTCATTCTGTGCATGAGTTAATGATGGGCCTTTGCGCTCAGCCCACAACACTCCTAATGGAGATGACCGACGACCTGCATTAACGTAAGCAGTTGTGGCACATGCCGCACAGCCGAAAATGGAAAGCGGCAAGTAGGAACGACGCATTGGAAGCCAGGCATCAACAGGTGCAACACAGGTTCTCCAACTGGTACCCTGTTTTCCGGCGTTCTGAATGGCAGTGCTGAGTATGCAATTAACACCCAGCTTCTGTCATTCACTCATAGGCATTCTGTAAACCTAAATCTAAATGTAAGCAGACAAGGCTGCTGAAAAATGTAACGGTTGCATCTGAAGCGCAGTGCTTGAAACATTGAAGACAGGGTGTATGGTTCGTCATGTTTGCTAACAAGCCGCTGTTCGGGGGAATTATCATCAATCCATTTTTCAAGCAGCACCAATAGATACATGATGTTCCATCACCAATCGTAAAGTCGCATTGTCATGTATTCAAAATGAACTCTTTATGACACCACATTCCAAAGTGCTTGGGTCACTAGCAATGCTCTCCATGTTCTGTCAACTATATTTCACAGTGGTGCAACCAGATCATCGCCCACTTGCAACAGATTTTCGGATGTTGTCGCCTGAAACTGTCTTCAGCCTTGCACAATTTCTTTGTGTCTTTCTACATTCCATGTCAGATAAATTTGAGCGATGGAAAAATAAATATAGATATTTTGGAGCTCGCAGGTTTCTGTTGGCGATGGTCTTTGCTGGGCACAGTAATCTGCTTTGCTCTAGCGGCGACTTGTCTGGGCAGCGGATTCCTTGAAGATGAACTGCCCCTGACTATCGAGGTCACTACGCCCACCCGTCTGATTAAAGAAGATGTCAATTCTCCCATCAAGCTGTCACATCAACAAGCTTTGACGGTCAGTATCAACTTATGCGTGGATCACGGGACATAACCGCATCATTTCAGCGGTGGCGACCACAAGTCCTTATGCGATTGCGGGTGCAGTGTTATCTGGGCACCGATGCCTAGTTCGTCTCATGTCTGTTTGATTAAGCTGTGGCAGACTTGCTTCATTTATTTCCCTGAAAACTTCTGCCTTTTCCAGGAAGTTTTGTGGATTATCAGCAACGTGCACATGAACTGCAGCTGGAATCCCACAGTTTCCAATGACCGCATCAATTCCTGCCACTGCATTGGCAGCGATTGCGTAACGTACCCAATGATCATCCCAGGCGATTCACCAGGCTGCATGTTTGTGGCAGGTGGTCTTCTCTCGCTCTGTCATTGCTCTGGGTGCAGACTTTGGATTGCCTGAGCTCCCTCCGGAACTGGTGAGTTCCTAGTTTAGGAATATTAATTGAAAAAGGGCACGGATGCTCGAGCAATCAAGACGCAGCGTTGCCGACGGTTCAGGAACTCCCAATAACAGATCGTCTCAATATGCCTCAGCTGAAGTCGTCATGTTAGAGATGGTTCTTACAACAAATGATGTTTCAAGGACGGGCATCTTTTATGCGAATTTCATCCAACCGAGATTTGACAGGTAATTTAAAATGCTGCATTGTTGCATGCTGTTCTAACTTCTGCGTATGCAAAGTGCAGATGCCTTTCTTCTTCGAGGAGGAGGATATCCCTGGGCGCTTCCGGTGGGTGACTACCAGCATCGCTAGGTTCGACCCGCTGGGGTCGTGGCGCCCAGATCTGGACCTGGACCTCGTGTGGAACACCAACCTCACCACATATGATGGTAGGAGTCTTGGCTAATTCAAATCGCAACGAATACACTCTTGCTAAATGGGTCTTGCTGTCAAGATAAACGCTATCTGCTCCAACTGCGAAAAAGGGAGGAATATGCGTGGATTGGCATTTCGCATCTGCAGCGCTTTGATCTCAGTGCAAACCTTTCGCCTTCTCAATGTTGAAGTTTCCACTTCGCCTGCCCGCATTTAACCTTTTGGAACTGCGTATACCATTTTTTCTGCCTCGCAAAGCACGTTCATGCTTCGTGATCAGACTTGCTCACCTCATCAGCAATGTACCATGCATTGGATGACGCCTTGTCCTGATAAGAGGCGCTTCGTCGCCTGGTTCGCTACACCGTGCGTTTGAAGGCCGTCTCGTACTTTCAGAATGCCCGTTTGGGCATGTGCTACATGTAGCACTCGCAAAATGCCAGCGTTGTCACATGCTGAATCTGATTGCCACTGTTTTCGTGTTCAGGCGTTCCGCTATCGCTGGGATCTCTGCCCCCAAGGGTCCGCCTCAGGACACCATCCCTGACTGTCAGTCTGATAAGCGTTGGCTCTGAAGAGGCGCTGAGGCTGACGGACGACCACTGGGATGGCCAAGTCGGCATGGAAGATGAGTTCCTTCCAGAGGTTCCCCCCGATGGTGAGCCGTGAACTTTTGCATGATAGTGTTTTACAACAACGTTGTGCTATTCAGCAATGCGACTCGTTCATTTTGCCGCTGTGTGCGCGGCATGAAGCCATGTGCCCCTTCAATTAAGGGTTCAGACAAAATGTCTTCTGTTTCTTCATCAAATCCAACCAGTGGAATTCGCTATTGAAGTTGGTCCTGATTGTGGAGCATATCCGTCGTCTGGCGTCTGGTAAAACACCCTGCCACAACAGTATTATATTTTTTATGCGATGTGATATTGGTGATCTCAAAGGTTGAATCGTCTTGTTTGGACTTCGCCAGTGTTGATCTGGGCTTTGGTACTTTCCGAGGACAATGAATACGCTGTGGCGATAGAAAAAGCACACCACAGGGATAATAACAGCGGTGAAAAATGGTACACGGAAATAAAACAACGCCTGTGTCACATGGGTTTCCAGTTTTGGTAGGGGCGGTAGGGATATCATGGGATATCAATTCTTTCTTCTACTACCTCGACAATATCTGTAACCGATTGCTTTTCGACTTAACTCCGCCAACAGGATCTCTGGCGCTGAGATTTTCAGACAACGTGGAGCTGCCTGCCCTGCGCAAGTCCTTGGTGGTGAGTGCATGGTTCTTTTCATTTAGGGTCGCAAAGGAGGGAGCGCCTTCCTGGAATTCCAGCTGCCGCGTTGGGGAAAACATTAATGTAACACTAATTTCATTTCAGCAAGCTTGTTCTGGGCGGACATCAAGCCCATGGACGCCCTTCCTTAACGCCATCCCTTGTTTTGATCCCGGCACAGCACACAAGCACAGTATACAGTTTTGTGCGATGAGACTGCGAATGTTCTGACGGGTTTGCGGCAGTGCGCCTCTGACCCCGATGTTGGCTGGAATGGTACTTAAGTTGTTCGACCACCCTCTTCCTTATACCTGGCCGGATGTTTTGGTAGGGGACACCCTATCAGAGATGCCCGGTTCGATCACCGGTCAGGTACAGTAAGGGTCCCTATATAGCGCCCCCCCAATAGCGCCTCCGGCCCCCAATAGCGCCCCCTTTTTTGGCTTGTCACCATTCATGTAGTACTTTATGCAGTTTTGTTGCGTAGTGAGACCTCAAACTAGTACGAGGTTCCGGTTTAGCGACCCCTATTTAGCAACCTGTCTAAGTTTAGCGACTCCGTAGTGCTTCGTGTCACTGCGACAGGCCCCAGCGCCCGCGACTTCGGCACCGCGACAGTCGCTGGCCCCAAAAGCCGGTATGGACCCAGTAGGCTGGGTGTAGCGTACCCCCCACACTGGCGGTCAAGGTACCCCGTACACAGGCAGCTAGGGTACCCCCTACCGGCGGCCAGGTTACACCCTATACAGGCAGCCAGGGTACCCCCTACATTGGCTGCTATGATACCCCCTACACCGGCGGCCATGATACCCCCTACACTGGCGGCCAGGGTACCATTTGCACCGGTTGCTTTGGGTATCCCCTTGACACAGTAGCGCCCCCGGCCCTAAATAGCGCCCCCCTTTTGGCCATGTCATGGGGGGGCGCTATATAGGGACTCGTACTGTATCCTCTTTACTATCCGCACTGAAGCACCCGGGACCCGTGCTCGTTCTGCGCAACATGCGCCGCCAGGACCCCTCGCCGCCCCTCCAGCAAGGAAACCTGTTCCCCATTGCACGTGACTGCTGTGCATCACGCGACGCTCTCAAATGCCACCGCCGGGTCGACCTTCGACAGATGCTCCAAGGGCACCTCCAGCTGCCGCCACAAGCTGCGCACGACATCCCAAGGCACCGCACTGAAGATCGATCGTCAGTGCGCTGCCGTACGAACGAATTTCGCGCACAAATCCAGGCCACTTCGCTTTTCCGGCTGTCGCCAGGTCTCTGTGGCACACCATTCCCGTCGTTGCCTGCGCTGATCGTCGATTCGGAGGCCGATGAGCAATTGCAAGCCGCTTGCCAAATATCGTCAAGCATCCGGCGCTGTCCGCCGCCATCTTTTGCCCATTCTGCTAATGGGACAGAATGGGTTCTGGAATGGATGCGCCCATTCCATGGAATGGAACGTTTCATTTTGAGTTAACTCCTTCTGACCGCCAATGGACGGCACATGTGCTGTCGCTGAGGCGCAAGGCCAGGGGACATGGCAGTGCACAGATGTACATCGGCTCACAGCGAGGGCGCCTACAGCTTAGCCTCCGTGGACGATTGCAAAGACGCAGCTGCATCAAGTTCACGCGATAAGCTGTAGGAACTTCGCGTATTGGGCGACAAGCTTGCAAGACATCAGTGAACCACAAAATATAACCACACCATCAGAACCGCATCAGTGTTTCCCTTTGTGGATAGCCTTACCCAATCGCAGTAGTCCGTGATGTAGCAGTGCGACCAGCGGGAGCACAGATATCAAGTGTATCTGTAAACGTGCAGTATACGATAAATACCACTTGAGGATGAGTGTGCTGCTGCAGGTATATGAGCTTGATTCACTGGAGAAGGGCTTCTCGCAGACTGCCGCAGGCTCCAGAGCGAAATCAGACATTCGGGCAATCGTGAAACAGTGCACGACTCTCAATGAGACGCTGATTGATGACGAGGTTAGTCCAAAAGTACAATTCCAGTGTCCTATTGCACCTATTGCAACTGCAGTGGGAGACAGAGGTGCAGAAGCCCCTGTAATCTCCTGACCTGAGCATTAACAATGTCCCTCTTCGCTCAGCCACATTCACGACGCATCTGGATTGGATAGTGACGGGCATGACAATGGGCAATGAACAAAACGTGTTCTCAATCAAAAGTGTGGCACATTGTGAATTTGGCAATCGCTTTGACCCTGAGGTTGACAGAGTTCAATTCTGCAGAACCAGATTGTGCTCAGCACGAAGAATGTGTTGCCCTCAAGCAAACCTTATGCAATGCCTGCGATTTAAATCTGCTTTCGCGCAAGCGTTGATCTTCCTCCATCTACTGTCAAGTGTCACATGATTTTGCTGATGGAGATGACAAGGGATCTTTTCGCCACACGCTGTAGGCACACAATTGTATCGAGTTGCCTTGGGATGCTTTAAATGCTGTGCTAGAAACTCCATTGGTTTTAGGCTGCACATAAGTGCCACGACTCAGCAGTTTGATACCAACAAACGCCGAATCCAGAGCACAGATGCAAGTATTAGAAAGATTGCAGATTCGTTGTCGCTGCGAGATTTACGCCAGTGACACAGACAAGCCAAATTGCGATGCTTTGCCAGCATTTGGAGCATTCTGTGAAATGGCAAAAATGCTGCATGCAATATTGAACGTTGTTATCAAACTTCCATTAGCAGGCGAAGGAGAAATGCTCTAGAGAAATGGATCAATAACATTCCTGTGCGACTACGAGTTTAAATCTGTGTGCAAGATGGGCTGTGCTTTCGATGTGTGCCCACGCCTGTTGCCTCATTGCTCCCCTTCAGGATCAGTAAACAGAAAACTTTAACAATCTGAGAAGTCACGTCCGTCAGCAATTGACAATAGTAGGCACTCGTCTGACCAAATCTGTGGTGTCTTCTGTGCACCACCACCAATGCTTGCGGTGGCAGGTTTTTGAACAGTCGAGTTTGTGTGTATTTGGAATTTGAAATTAAAGCACACAAAACACCAAATAGCACAATTGCTCATCCCTGCGTGTATAGGCATAAGTTGAAATTGGTGGATTGGGGATCCTGAACGTATGCTTCAATAACATGAAAGCCTAACAGCGAACCTGTGCAACCTGCCAGGGTTCTCCGGTTGTCTCTGATTGCGCTGTGGTTGAGTTGAGCGGCCCTTTGGATCAAGGAAAGAGGTACCGCTTCTTCGCGCGGCCTGAATCCCTGAATTGGGTCAGCGTCCATGAATGGCATCCTTGAGGCTTGATAAGCGCTTGATATCTCAAACAATGGCTTCTTATTCCTTAATTGCTCAGCTGCGTTCCCAAGTCCGGATTTTTCCAGTTTCCTTGTCTTTCTCCCACTTGCAGAAATACATGTTTACCGCTGCAATCAGATATGATATGGCAACGCTCGTGTCCTCCCCCAGTCCTGGCGAAACAGTTTGTTTGTTGTGGCAAACAGCGCACTGAGTATGCTGTGGCAACGTGGGCCCTGCCAGGTATGCATTGGTTTTGCCTCGAGGCACGCAATACGAGGAACTATCAGGTCGTCTGCGCAAAGATGTGTTCATCGACATGTATGGCTTGAGGAAATTTCGGATTCCCTTCCAGCTTGGCGTCTTCGAGTCCTTCGACGATCGGAGCGATGTACCATCTGGGGATTATTATGGAACAATCAGGTGCGCAACAGCAAGGCTGTCATCTTGCATTTAATTTGGGCGACTCCAATCGATACATGCGCTTTGAAAAAAATTGCTTAATGTGGTGGCAAAGAGCGTGCTGAGATATTGCCCATTTCAAATACATCATGAAACTCGGATGGCTGCGCAATCGGTATTAGAATGTGCTCCCTTACAGATTACGTGCCTCATATTGGTCAAAACCACATGATGGAGTCCCCTTCTGTAGTGCAGTTTATTGCATTTTCGGTCAACACTTACTTAAAGGAAATGCCCGTGCTGCCATGGAGTGGCGTTTGCCGCGTGGGATGCTGTATCGTTAATCTGTTAAACATAGCAAACTCCCTCGGACACAGTTTTCTCTATGATTGAATTTCTTCCATGCATATCTAACTCCCAGGTCGGCTCTTATCATGCCATCTGCGTGCCAAATGTGATCGATAGGGCAAATCAACATTTCCAAAAGCTGTTCGTTTTTTGTGTAGTTCCCGTCGACTGAGGATGTGGCTTGTGCACGGGCTTCATCCGGACACGTCATTGGATGATTTGAAGTCAGCCATTACGCTCATCAGGATTCCTTGGAGCTGGGAGAGCCCTGCCGAAGAAGAGCAGGTAAGTGAGCTCTGGCCACCGCCCAGCAGTGCAGCTGTGCTCTCATGAACTTACCTGATGTCCGCTTTTGTGAGACCTGCCGCATACCTCA